TCCACTATTAAAATATAGTATTTAAGTACCTCTTTGCTTTTATAATATAACATTGTTGACTTTTGAACATAATGGTTAACTATTTGCCTTCATAAAAAATATGAAAGTATGGAAAATATAAATCATGCTGAAGGTACCTCTTTCCAGATAAAACAAGTCACAAATGATATATCAAAATTCAGCAGGCTATACATTTTAAAACAGGGGACTAACTCCTATTGGCCTTTACTTGGTTCCACCTCTCTAATGTGAGCATGAAGACAAACCTTTGTTAGTAGTTAAAAAAAGTAAATTTCACAAAACTACAAATATTTTGCACAATTTATCATAAAACTACAGATATAAGAGTTTGTTTCACAAAACTACAGATTTAGTATATCTGTTTATCACAAAAATATAGGTATTTTGTACAATCTATCACAATACTATAGATTTAAGAACTTGTTTCACAAAACTACAGATTTAGTATATTCATTTGTCACAAAACTACATATTTAGTGTCTTTATTTATCACAAAACTACAGATTTAGTGTCTCCATTATTACAAAACTACAGGTTTTAACAATGCTAAAACATGTAGTTTTGTGATAAGAAAAACATTAAACCTGTAGTTTTATGATAAATAAAGATATTAAATCTGTAGTTTTGTGAAACAAGTTTTTAAATTTGTAGTTTTGTGATGGATTGTACAAAGTACCTATAGTTTTGTGATAAACGAAGACACTAAATCTGTAGTTTTGTAAAATAAGTTCTTAAACGCGTAGTTTTATGATAGATCGTGCACACTGTCTATAGTTTTATGAAATTTAATTTTAAATAAATAAATAAATAATAGAGTGTAATGAAAGTAAATAAGAGAGTGTAATGAAAGGTCAAAAACATAGGCCGGGATTTTGGCCCATACGTACAGCCCTAGGTAAGATGTGGCGTAGTAAGGACAATAGCAATGCATCATATGTATTTGCCAGAGCTTAGATGTCACATGGGCTAAGGAAAGTGATATACACAAGGCTCACAATGTAGCAACCTCACGTGGGGTCAAATTTTTTTTTCCTTTTTTCTCCACTTTTCCCCCTCTCCCCCTTTCCTCGAGACCGACGCTTCCTTTCTTCTCCCCCTCTCTCTCCTCTCACGCTCGGGCGGCGACCCAACGCCGCTCTCCTCTCCTTCTACCGTGACGGGACGGCCGTGCGAAGCAGCAGTCCGAGCGAAGACAGGGTCAGGGAGGCCAGGCGGAGCATCGGCGGGGTTTGGCGCTTGCCGGCACAGTAGTGGGGGAAGGTGGGAGCTCGGTGGCGTGGTAGCGAGGGATAGCGAGCTCGGGTGGGATCTCCGACTCGGCGTAGATGCGGCTTCTTCGACAAGCTTCTCCCCCTTCTCTCCTCTGTCTTGCTTTCTCGCCATGGGTGTGGATGCAATTCTTTCTCTGTGAAAAAAACTATTTTCTTCTGATAAGGTTCTCGGAGCCAAACAAGAGCGTGCTAACCCCCTTATCTCCTCTACGCATGTAACCTGTCTAGCTGGAGAGTTGAGGTTAAATACTACATAGATACACTGTGAATGGCCTAATAGATTACAGAGCGGAAATGCTACACGGATAGGAGGCTCCTGCAGCTGCAGGGGGAGCAACCCGAGTTGGCGAGTTTGCGTCACCGGTAAAAGGACACGGCAGAGAGCAGCGGCTGTACAGGGACAAGGACCAGCAAGCAAAATGTGCCAGGGACCGAGGGAGTAAGACAAATCTGGCCCTTTTTATTGATCACTAACAAAAGAATCATCTTTCTTAGAATACACAAGAAACACATCTTTGTATTAAGAGGAATAAAAGTAATTTACAAGAAAACTAAAAGAAAAAGAGAGGATGGGATAAAGGTTAGAACCGAGCTAAGCTAAGCCTATTCTCACTAGAACAATGGGCAAACAGAGATGCCAAGGGGCTAGACACGTAGCACTGGAATTGCCGCATTGGCCAAGCGCTAGAGTTCCGCTTCAGCAACCATTGCCTTCGCTACCTTCGGCTACGTCCTCTGTTGTTGGTTAAAGACCCAATTATTTTTTTTCCTTCCATTACCCAAACAACAAGGGCAACAATGATTTGTCAAACCCTCTTCAATGAGATTTTGGAATCTTCTTCCGGGTATTGCAAAACCAAAGGAAGAAGATGACATTCATCGGTAGACATACAGGCTGTTCGATTGCACTGAGAGCGACCCACCAAAAGCTTCTCCAAAACAAAAGAATCATCAATTACGGAACTGCAAATCTCACGAGCTTAATTTACAACGAACAGTTAATCACACTTTTCCTCGTCTCCTTGCCGATCATGACGACAGCCCGGACATTTTCCGGAAAACTCATCCCCTGTGGCCACTGCACAACCACATCACACAAGTCACTTATATACACGAAGCATCATGTATTGTATTCCATGAAGCGGAGCTACAAGAGCATGGCCGCCGCGGCGAGCAGCGAGGAGCCAGCGCACGCCGCCCAGGTGCCGCCGCTGAGGCCGCGCGGGCTGCCGCTGGTTCTCGTGGCGCTCCCTCTGGCCCCGACGCCGCCGCCGCCGATGTAGGCGCGGCCTCCTCCGCCTCGCCGCCCTTCCGTGACGTCCATGAGGCTCGCCACGCAGAGCATGGCGAGGACGAGCGCGCAGACGGGCAGCAACGACGACGACCGCCTCATCTTCTGTCTTGTGGTTATCTGAGCACGAAAGCACCGTCCGGCAGCTTTTCTTGTGTGATTTCTTCGTCTCGCCTTCCAAATTCCAACTCTGCACGTATCTTGTCCAAGCTGCAGCGCGCGCCATGTATTTATACACACCTTATCGGGTTGACCGGTCGTCCGGCCGGTCATATTATTTTGACCAGTATGCACCACCAGTACCTCGCACATTAATGGCTGTGTTTAATAATTAATTTAGCGATTTTGTGGTACTGAACGTGTTCTTTCCCTCTTTTTGACTAGAATTCGTCTTCTTTTGCTCTCTTGACAGACGAGTTGATCTGAAACTTAATTGATGGATGCATGGTTAGTGACTTTTCATTTGTTTAGCATACGTTGCCTGTTACTGGGGACAACCTCGTTGTCTCGTTGATGTTATCCTCAAGCTTTGTCACCAAATTTTCTAAGCGCGCTTCTCTCTACGGCTTTAACTTGCAAGTTTTTACATTTGCATGGCTGATAGTGATACGCGCCTACGCGGCAGACACCCCAGCTAGGATGTTTTACAGTATCTGAACGAACAAGTTCTCGATCAACTAATGGCTAAATGCTCCAGCAATTTTGAGAGCGACGCTTCCGAATTAAAAAAAAAACGCATTTTACTTATCTGGAAACTCGTTTGCGTACATGCACGTGCCAGTTAGGTTGGTGGGTAGCTCGTCCGGGGATGACTCTTGCTGACTTTTAATACACGGTTCCGACTTCTTTCCTCTGATGACACGTTGCTAGGCTGGCTAGCTAGCTAGGAAACTGTTCAGAAAACAGGAGGAAATCTGGCACAACCCTTTCTAATGCGAAGCTTGTGCAAGGCAGGTTCCCAGTGCTCTCTTGGAAGTTAGGCTAATCTCCAAAACATGGCGACGATACGATGGAATAAGTTCACCGGAGGTCCCTCAACTTAACAGTGAGATTTTTTTGATGTCCCTTAACCATAAAATTAGAAATGTCTACCCCTAAACTTACTCAAACCGTTCACCGGAGGTCCCTCGGCAGTATTTTTGCCCAGTTTTACTGACGTAGCATCCTAGTCAGCAAAAAAAATTAAAAAAGTATGTGGGACCCACATGTCAGTTGCACATTTTTTTCCTCTCTTTTCTTCTCCTTCTCTTCTCTTTTCGCTTCTCTCCTCTCTCTTCTCCTTCAGGCTGGCGGCGGGCGCAGCTGCGATGGCCGAGCGCGGATGCGGGCGGCCGGCGAGCGCGGCAGCAGAGCGGTGGCGGGCGGTGGGCGGAGCAGACGGCGGGCGAGCCCGGAGGCGGAGCGGAGGCAGTGGAGCGCGGCGGCGGAGCGGAGGCTACGGGCGGAGCAGGGCGTCGCAGTGGCCGTGCATAGGTGGCTCGAAGTGCCGGCTGACGATGCACCCCAGTCGCTCGCGCTCCTCCTGTGCCGCGGCAGCGACAATGGTGGCGGCGGCAGCGTCGCCGGCCTGATCCCATGGTCCTCCCGGACACCCAGCTCGCGCAGCTGCAGCAGGAGCGTGTCCACGCTCGGCGTGCCATCGGCGTCGTGGACGGTGGTCGGCGCGGGCGCAGTGACCCTCGTCGTCTTCACCGACGTCACGGTAGCACTTGACGTCGTAGCTCATATGCATATACGCCGGGTACAGATGGCCGCATGTACATGCGTCTTCGTACAAGCATATATATGCATGCATGGAGATGGAGACGACCAGCTATAGCCTAGCTAGCTTCTTGTTGGTTTGCCGCCCGATAACATGCAGACGTATATATTAGCCAAGCATGTGTATATGGCTGAGCACACTCACATGTATATATGCCATTACGTGCAGCGGAGGAGCGCGGATGCGGGGGGTGCAGCGGAAGGCGAGCGCGGCGGAGGAGCGGCGGCGGGCGAGCGCGGCGGTGGGCAAAGCAGCGGAGGGCGAGCTAGGCGAAGCGGAAGACAGTGGATGGGACGGGGAGCTCCCCCGTGCTCGGCCGCCACCAACGCTGTGCCCCCGCGGGTGGCCGACGATGCTAGAAGAGGCACCACCGGTGGGAGAAGAGGAAGAGGCAGAGGAAGAGATTGTTTCTTGGTCGCCGGCCGCCTCCCCCTCCCTCCCAAACTCGCTGGCCGCCGCGCTCGCTCGCCGCCGCTCCGCCGCCGCGCTCGCGCTCCACTGCTCGGCCCGCCGCCGCGCTCGCGCCTTCCGCTGCTCCGTTGCTGCGCTCGCCCTCCGCTGCGCCACCCGCATCCGTGCTCGCCGCTCCGCCGCCGCGCTCCGCTGCCTCCGCTCCGCCGCTGGACGGCCGCGCCGCGTAGCCTCGCCCACGGCGACGACGACGGTGGAGAGCCGACGACAACGGCGCGCGGCTGCTCCGCCCGCAGCCTGAAAGAGAAGAGAAGAGAGAGAAAAGAAAAGAGAAGAGGAGAGAAGGAGAAGAAAAGAGAAGAAAAAAAATGTGCAGCTGACATATGGGCCTCACGTGTTTTTTTAAATTATTTTGCTGACTAGGATATACCACATCAGCAAAACCCGATAAAGACGACATTGCGACGAGGAGAGAAATAGCCGCGTCAAGGCTCGCCTGGGACGAAGGCACGAAGCTTCTATTAGTCCAGATTCCGCTGAGGCCCACTTGCGGAAACGGCCCACGGAAACGGCCCATAGAGATGGACGTGGGATGAACAATGATGAACTCCTCCTATGGGCGGCGGCGGCGGCGGGCGGCGGGCCTATCCAACTACGGAAGCAATCAAGCTAGCCACGCCGGCGGCTTTGCAAGTTCGCATGGCCGCATTCCCAACTCGACGGCGGGAACTGACTGCTCGCCGCCGCCCGGTCAGCATCTAGCCATCCAGGTACCCCGTTGTGCCTTGTGTGATCAGCAGTAGAACCATAAAATCGAAGGATTTATTGTAGATAGTGCAAGAAAATTTTGCCAAGTACAAGTAGTTTTCCGATCTAAGGTGACCATATGTAGATGATCACCGTTCTTTATTATTGACTATTGAGTAATCCTCTGGATTACTATGCAACATCCGCATAGAAATCTCGGATTGTGATCCGGACTGCGATGGGGATCCTTACCGTGTGATGCTCGTTGTACCAAGTTAGGCTTCCAAATGTGTATTCCCCTTGCACTTTCCACAAGGGTCTCATGCTGACCTTGAAGGTGTTCACTTTCTTTGTGGCATTGAAGACTAGGGTTGGAGGTTCAACATCGATCTTGACTCCTAGGGGGCTCTGTATAGCAGATTGATAAACTGCATCGACTTCCCCCACATTTGTGACTGCTCGCCGCACCTTGATTGGATGCCTTAGTTCAGGAATTGATATAGAAGGCAAGTTGAGGTGATAGGCAGGTAAAGTTGTAATGTTGCAGATCTCATGTTTTTTGATCTTGCAAGCGAAGAATTTGTTGTAGTCCATTGGATCAATGTTGTAAATCAGGCCGGGATCTGCAGCTCCATTAGGATTTATGTTCCCCCCTCCATAGTCGAATGGGTCAGCAACTTTCCGAGGTAGAGCTTCCGCTAATATTGGCATGCCATATTCATCCTTGGTTGATGCTTTGGCCATGCAAAAGACAATCACATGTAAGACCATGTTATTGGATTGATAAACATAGTGTTTCATGTGGATAGTATAGCTTACCTGAGGTAACAATGGCTGATTTTAGAGCAGCATGAGACCAATCAGGATGCAGAGCCTTTAGCAATGCTATGACACCTGCTACATGTGGGGCTGCCATTGAAGTCCCCGAGTTAAATGCATATCCATCTTCTTTGGCTGCTAGGATGTTGACCCCTGGTGCTGCTATGTCTGGCTGTTAAAGTAATTATAATGAGATTATACCATTGCAGTAAAGCATTGCAAGCCTACTGAGATCACTATTACAAGCAACTCAAAGTTGGTTAGGTCAAAAGAATGTGCACCGTTTCAGCTTTGTTTACCTTAAGAACTGTAGGGTACCTAGTGGATGGGCCTCTTGATGAGAATATTGCCACCTTTGGAGCCAGGACTTCTTTTCCTGTAATACTATGTGCTGGTTCAATCTTTGCAACCGGCATGCTGCTTAGTACAAAGACCATATTATTTTAGACTAAATAAATATAGTTCCACAGAAAATACAATTACTAAGCCTGGTTCTTCACATGAATTTTTTCCTACCTTTGACTACCAATGTATGTTGCAACTTGAGACCCAATATCAATATCGACTAAAACACAGGGTATGCCTTGGCAATCTTCAGTGCGCAAAAGCATATCTGTGGTATACAGTCCGAAAATAAGACCAGATGCCCCACCACTAAAAACGTTTTCGAAGACAGTATTGACAAAATTTAGTATTGGTCCATAAGTTATTTCGATGCACAGAACAATGCTTCCATTGATTGTTGTTCCATTCAATGCCCCTTTTGAACAACTGCAGACAGAAACAATGGTTGCTCAACCAATTTGGAAATGCAACATCAGAATCTAAGCTGCCATCTATCCATGAATTTAGTTAATCAATAAGTTAAACAGAAATGCACATACTCTCCACCATTTACAAGTGGTTGGAACCCACTCTTGGATTCGTTGTTTAACTTGTAATATAATGATTGACCCTGCAAATATGATAGAGATTTGCACATAAATTTTGAGTGGTAAGTGTTTGGAGATGATAGGCGAGGAAAGGTGCCTCTAGGAGCGCTCCGTTCGATACTGCTAGTGGGCTGAAAATTTTCCTCATTTTCGTGCACACGCTTTCCAAACTGTTAAATGGTGCGCTTTGTGCAAAAGTTTTCCTTATAGAAGTTTCTTTAAAAAATCAAATAAATCCACTTTTTAAGTTTATAATAGTTAATTAATTATATGCTAATCATCTTTCCTGTTTCCTGTGCAAGCAATAATCATATCCTATATGCAGTATCGAACGGAGCCAAGAGATTGTGTTTCTACTATTTACCACTAATGTTTGCTTGTTTCCCAGGGTAATGGTAGTTGGAAAAGACCGATCAATCTTGCTTGCTGCGGCTGTAATAACCCAAGGAGCTGTATTGAAAATAACTTGTGGTCGAGGGCCATCGTTTCCCCCAGCATAAACAATGGTAATCCCCTTCTGGACTGCATGGAGTGCACCAAATGAATCCTCATCAGCATGAATTGAGAGGGACAGGATATCAACTCCATCATGAATTGCATCATCTAGAGCTGCTAGCACTCCGGCACTAGCAAGCTGTAGGCTATTCCCTGTGTTCCATATGACCTTATACACAGCAAGACGTGCTCGGGGTGCACCTCCACGGGCTACTCCTGTTGCTAGGCCATGGACGCTGACTCCATCTACCACTGCACCAGCTGCTATGGATGCTGTATGCGTTCCATGCCCGATCATGTCCCGGGCAGACATGTAATTCTTCTTAAAGTCAGCTTTTTCTATACCTGCAGCATAGTACCGTGCACCAATGATTTTCCTGCTGCAGTTGGTTGGCCCCCAGGCCTGTCCTAGTTGACACACGCCCTTCCATCGTGATGGTATTGGTCCGTATCCATGATCACTGAAGCTTCTTGATTCAGGCCAGATACCTGCATCAATTGCATATGTTTTCCAATTTACGCATTAAGGATTTTGCAAGAATTTGTATGGCCAAGGTCTTTTCAGATGATTTGGTGATATTGTACTAACCAGTGTCAATCATTCCAATAATTACATCTTCTCCATATTTGCTCCTCTGCAGAAGTTTATTGGGTGGTTGGTAGTTCAGTCCGAGGAAATCCCAACTTCTTGTGGTCAGCAATTCATGTTGCTTATTTGGGGTAACACTGATCACTTCAGGTAAATCTGAACATAAAAAAGTATACATGAGAAATTCTTCTGTATAAATAAATAAGGAGAAGAACCATATATATATAGTGCTCCAATAGGGGAACGTATCCTTTGCACACTCCGTACACGCGAACTAACAAATGTCACTGAAAAATCTAGCAAAATTTGTGCATATACTTTACACACGTGTAAAATATTAACCTCAAATTCATTGTATTTTAGCCATAACGGAAAAAAAATTCTGGCAGTTTTAAGACTATAAGTCTGTCAGAATTTTGTATTTTGTGTTGCTTCGAGTCTCTATGTAGGATGAATTTGAACATGGGACTTTACACGTAGATGTAATACTATTGAAAGTACATGTGCAAAGTTTTCTAGAATTTTTAGTGATATTTATTAGTTGGTGCGTACAGTAGTATGTACATGTAAAGGCTTGTGTGTATAGGACACATTCCCCTCCCATGGGCATATAGGTGTTAAGTTGTGTTAGTTTTTTTCTTCTTGGGCAGAAAGTGAATAGCTTAACATAGGTACCTTCCCATAAAGGAGCTGTTTTTAATCAATGTTGAATATGTTTTGAGTGTCTTTTTCTATCATTCAGAAATAGCATCATTCATCAGGATTGATTTCTTCACTTTGGTTGTCTTTGAATTTGTCAGTGTGGGAGTCAGACCTACTGTCGCCATCATGGGATTCAGGTAACCGCATCAACAGCAATTGCAGCTGGTCAAAGCAGTAGCTATTCAATCCTAGGAACGTTTTAGGATCATTTGGTCATTAGGATTTGATTAGTTACATTCTCACAATGATAGTTGCTTTCCTTATCTTTATACTTCTCTGTTTATGAAGAGATGTTCACAGTGAAAAACAACTAGGCAAGGAAGAATAAACAAAGTCTCTAATCTTCTTCCCAGTTCAGCAATAAACCTCAAAGCTTCTGTACTGCAGTTGGGAAGAATTCTGCCGGTGGTTAGATGGAAGTGAGCGTCCTACCCTTGGTCTCAACTCTCAAACCCATACCATGCACATAACAAACATGACTGGTAAATTTAGCACTGAGTTAGTCAAGTTAACTTTTGTTAGCTAAACTCAGTTCACCTGCAAGATTATCTGCTTGCTCCTCTGTTAGCATTGCTGCAAAGCCTGAGAAGCCATGTTTGTAGCTGTAAGCAATGGAGGCCAGCGCCTCTTCCTTGCTGAAACAAAGTGGTAAGCCATGAGAAACAACACCGAACATGTTTATAGTTAGTTATAAAATGAAGTGTTTGGAGTTGTTGAAGCAAATAGGCAGCTCATAAAATAATATTGGTGTTGAGAAGGTAAGAACTAAAACACCCCAAAGCAAATAAACTCCTTAGATTACCTTCCAAGAACGCTGGTGAGCATGTCATGGTGTGAGGCAGTGACAAGAGTAGGGTCATCATATTTCTTCTCGCCCAGATAGGCAATGTACAACTATGCATATATAGAGAAGCAGAGAAAACATCTTTGACCACCAAATCTGCATACAAAATAAGATGTAGGGTGATGCACTGTGCATACCTTGCGAGATCCATATATTCCTCTGATCATCAAAAGCCATACACAAAATAGGAGGAAAGCTGGAAAGCGCTGAAATGGAGAGTGCAGAATCATGTTGGGACTTCTTATACATCAGTATGATCTAGTAGGTATTGGTATTTATAGGTCTTTAGGTCTTGCTTGGTGGCTTCTGTCCATGTCCAGAAAGAAATGTGACACTCACATTTGTTCAATGAATTAAATGTGGCACTCAAATTCGTTCAATGAATTCGATCGCTGAATGTTTATGTCTACTAGTCTAGGGTCACAACGTAAGACAAAATGTCATATGTTTTGCTGTTCATTTTCTTCTTGTCCAAGTGTCCTCCCTGGGTTTTCTCTAGTAGGGGATTCCCTGGAATTTTCTGCCAAACTAGCTTAACTCATGGTCATGGGTTGTATTTCTCCGTGCTACCACCTCCAGCTTATCTTGCATGAGTACTTTTCGTTTATCTTGGTTATGCTAGTCTTTTTTTTTAAAAAAAAATCAGATATTCAGAGTGAGAAGCATGGAGGCTAGAATTTATTCATCTATACGTCAATAACTCAACAAATTGAATATTCGGAGGCAAAGTGGAACAAAATTCCAGGAGATGCTACTATGGTTTACAGTTTACACTAGCAAACACGAAGCAGTGGAGCCCAGGAGCCCCCTGATTTGCTATAATGGTTTCTCAATCAGCGGGGAATTTTGACTCTTCTGTTCTCCCCGTGCCATTGCACATCATTATGTGGAGTCGTCTTCCGCGTTTGTTCGTTTAACTGATGGAGACTAGACGGCTAGAGTGCTGATTCGTGCAAGTTTAGTCTTACAAGACGTCGCTGCTTTCTGATCTTTTGTTTATCTGGAAGAAAAGGGTACAGGTAAGCTCATATAACTCTAATACTTCTGGATAATATGGAGATGATCAGACTTTTGCATTCGAGTGCTGATCCATTGGCGCTTCGCTTCCATGTGGGTGCTGCCGGCTGACTGAAGCCATTTGTCTTAGGCGTATTGGATTGGTCTGGTTTAAGGAACTAACGAAATTTTGTAGTGCCAGGTAGAGATGGAAAATATGTGTTTGATTTGATGCACATTGTATTATTGTCAGATAAATGGATGAGTATTACCCAAATTTTGGTATGGTAAGATGTTGAGGGGGTATGTGCTTTGCTACCTTATCAAAACAATTTTTGAAATAATATGACTACCGTTATGGGCATGTTTTTTTTTTCTCTAGTAGCCGGTTGATCTATTAGACAGGATTGTTACGTAGAATCGTGGAAAACTATTGTTAGAAACACCATCAAACATGGTGGAGCAAGATGGATTGGGATATCGAGAGTAATGCTGTAAAAAAAATGTAGTATCCCAAAAATATGGGAAAAATATAATATTGGTTAAGGCATAGAGCATCACCGATAGACATCTAAAATTTCATCCCAAAATTCTGTTTTTTGGATTCTTAATCAGATATTGAGATTTGAATAGATTTCTCTATCCAATATCTAGAAACCAATATTCGGTCAAAAAAACTAAGAGCGTGGGGAAGAGGTGCCTAAAAATCTCTTACCTAAATCTCCTTTTTTTAGATAATGATCTAAATCTCTTTTTGAAAAAGATTCTCTATTGAGAATTTAAGGATTAAAAATGTATTTCCTTCTCTCTAAAATAGGGTCTTCCTCCACTCGGGCATTATCAAATCGTGCGATCTGACTCTACGATTACCTATCTAGTACTTCCTCCATTCTGAAATTCTGGTCGTTTTACCATCCCAACGTTGTCCCAAAAAAGATGCCGTATTATCAATTCAAATGTTTGAATCTGCTAATGATGGCTTTGCACTGCGTACTTTTTGTGGCAATGGCACCAATGTGAACTGTGACTCTACCATGTGTCCCTGAGTTGTGGGAATATTGCAATCAGAAAATATCTCTGGACCTTCTGGGGAATGCATGTACACTTAAATCAAATGATAATCAAATGAATGAGGGTAACTTGGTCGTTTTGTTTGCTTACTAATTTGGATCGAAAACCTTAAAACGTCAAGAATTTTAGGACGGAGGAAGTATTGTCCTCCCAAGATACACCACCTAGCCCTTATCAACTCGTGTCAATTGGCTCCACGATTGACCATCTAGCATCGTCCTCCCACTCGCCCTTTTTTCTGGGGTAGAAGTCTTGCTCAAGAGACAAAAATTTTCTCGGGTAGAAGTCTTGCTCAAGAGACAAAAATTGAGAGCGAGAATGATACCTGATTTGTGGAGAGCAAAAGTAAAGAAAGAAGGAATACCAATGTTTAGGGGAAAAGAAAATGCCGATTTTAGGGGGGGGGGGGGGGGGGCGTAGGGAACCGTTGGAGAAGCCAAAAACCAAAAGGTGGCACTGCTGAAGTGTTGATGATGCTTTAAGCCCTTGTTTTTGTATAAGCCAGCCCATACGATGAAGGCCCGTATAAACCAACTAGCCACAAAAGAGGTCCAAGATTACAGAATCAACGTGAGGGAGCATTGCCTATGCCTTCTACGGGAGCGTCCGATCGGCTGGAGCAAATCGGTGCTGACGTCATGCTACGTGTAAAACTATTTTAAACTGATTTTTCTCCTAAATTACTTATTCAAATCATGATTTGATTGTACCATTAAATTCGTTACAATTAAATCTTCAAAGCAAGACCACACATGGATATATTTCGACGAAAAAAATTAGCTTATTATTGAATTATTTTTAAATGTTGCACGATATTCTACCAAGTATATCGGATTTGTTTCACTAAGTAGATCGAAAATGTTTCACTCATTTAAATCGGGTGTTGTTTTACCTTATATAAAAACAATATTTCAGCAAATAGTGAAAGAATATTTCAGTTCACTGCAACATTATATCTGTACACAGTGAAACATTGTTAGTACACTAGGTGAAACATTTTTCGGTGAAATAAAAAATAAACCAAAATTCCTTAATAGGGGTTTCCAAAATATATGAGTTTATTTTGTTGCAATGGAATGTTTCGTTCACTGCAACATTAGATCTATACATAGTGAAACATTGTGAATACACTAGGTGAAATATTTTTGGTGGAATAAAAAATAAATCAAATTCCTTTAAATGAGAGTTTCTAAAATATGTGGGTTTTTTTAAAAGATTATTTTAATTCACTATAACGTTAGATTTATAAATAGTGAAACATTGTATTTACGCTAAGTGAAACATCTTTTGTAAAAAAAAAAAAAAAAGAAACTGTGTGAGTCCAATATATGTGCACGTGGGGGCGGGCATGCGGGGGAGCGCCCGATCTGGCTCCCCGCGCCGGACGCCCGGCTATAATCATTCTCGGCCTTCTACTCCCCTCTCTCTCTCTCTCTAAAAAAGGCCATATGCCGTCCGTCACCGTGCGGCCGGCGGCGGTGGCGGCGGATGGCAAGCAAGACCGGAAAGTGCAAGCGGCACATGCCAACCAGCCGTAGCAAGGCCGCGCCACTTCGTCCCAAGTCAGGTCCCACGGCGACGGGCCGACGGCGGAAGCGGTTTCCGCCCCCACGGCCGCGCCCCTCCCTTCGCCGGCTGCGCCGTCAGGTTCGTTGTTCCACCCATCCATCCATTTGTCTTGTTGGCCACCCCGTTTTATGTCTATAATTCTCAACAAATGCAACTCCTATGAACAATGAAGCAAATTGTTCTTATTGCAAGCGCTATTGGTTTACATGTTTATTACTGAGTATACATTGTCTAGAAATATGTTCATTACTAAGCAACATCAGCGTAGAAGTCTTGAATTGTGATCCGGACAGCAATTGGGATTCTTGCAGTGTGGTGCTCATTGTACCAAGTTAGGCTGCCGAATGTGTAGCCTCCCTGCACTTTCCACAGAGGTGTAATGCAAATCTTGAAGGCATGCACTTTCTTGCTAGCATTGAAGACTAGGACAGGCGGTTCGATAGTCATCTTCACTCCAAGGGGGGATTCTATAGAGGATTGGTAAACCGCATCCACCTCCCCGACATTAGTGACTGCTCGTCGTACGTTTATTGGATGCCTTAGGTCTGGTATAGATATAGAAGGCAGATTCAGGTGATAGGCTGGCAATGTCGTAATGTTACAGATCTCATATTTCTTGATCTGACAAGCGAAGAATTTGTTGTAATCCTTTGGATCGATGTCATAAATTAGGCCAGGATCAGCAGCTCCAATAGGATTTATGTTCCCTCCTCCATAATCGAAAGGGTCAGCAACTTTCCGAGGAAGCGCTTCTGCTAATATCGGCGTGTCATATTCGTCCTTTGTTGATGCTTTTGCATGCAAAAAAGAGTAATTCATGGTTGAGTGGATTTACCTATATAGTTGTTTCATGTGGATAGCACACTCAAGTAATTTACCTGTGGTGACAATTGCTGATTTGAGAGCAGCATGAGACCAATGAGGATGTAGAGCCTTAAGCAATGCCACAACGCCTGCTACATGTGGGGCTGCCATTGATGTCCCTGAGTTAAATACATATGCATCTTCTTTGGCAGCTAAGATGTTGACTCCTGGAGCTGCTATGTCAGGCTGTTAAAGCAGATATAATATGGTTAGGAAATGCTCCTGTGGAATAAAATCATCTTAAGGTGCACGGTATCTGATGTCTGTATAAAGATTTTCCTAACTAAAATAAAGACCAACAGTATGTACTTCCTTTCAGATTGTACCTTAAGAACTGTAGGGTATTTGATGGATGGGCCTCTTGAGGAGAATATTGCCACCTTTGGAGCGGGGACCTGATTTCCTGTAATACTACTTGCTGGCTCAATCTTAACAGTGGGTAATCTGGATAAAAAATAAAGCAAAATTATTTGGGAGTTTAAATAGTTACAGAGAAAATACAGCTAGAGCTTGGTGGGTCGTTAAATATTTATCCATACCTTTCACTGCCTATGTATGTTGCAACTTGATATCCAATCTCATTGTCAACAAAAACACAGGCTATCCCCTTGCAATCTTCTGTGCTCAAAAGAACATCCGTGGTATAAAAAGCGAAGATAAGACCAGACGCCCCACCCTGAATAACGCCTGCAAAGACATCTTTGAAAATTCTTCCTATCGGGCCAAAAGTTAATTCAATGCATAGAACAACTTTTCCATTGATGCTTGTGCCATTTAACGCCTCCCTTGAACAACTGTAGACACAGGCAAAAAGCTTCAACACCTAAACATAAGTTGGTATGTAAATGATGTTAATCAGAAACTGGCATTAACTTTATACATACTTGCCACCATTTACAAGTGATTCAAATCTGCTCTCTGTATCGTTCTTTAACTTGTAATAGAGTGATTGTCCCTGCAAATATAAAAGCATGTACTTTTGAGTGGTAAATTCTTGAGGAAGATTGCATGGAGCAAAGGTTCTAACAGAGATCACGAGTCTCATGTACCACTAATGTTTGCTTGTTTCCCAGGGTGATGGCAGTTGGGAAAGATCGATCAATCTTGCTCGCTGCGACTGTAATGACCCAAGGAGCTGTGTTATAAAGGACTTGAGGTCGAGGGCCTCTATTTCCCCCGGCATAAACAACAGTAATCCCATTCTGGACTGCATGGAGTGCCCCAAATGAATTCTCATCAACACCAAGTGAGAGGGACAGGATATCGACTCCATCATGGATAGCATCATCTAGAGCTGCTAGTACTGCGGCAGTAGCGAGGTATACTCCACCAGCACCACCCTCCTCCCACCCAACCTTATAAACTGCAAGCCGTGCTCGGGGTGCACCACCACGTGCTACCCCAGCTCCTAGGCCATGGAGGTTAACCCCCTCTACTGCCACACCTGCTGCTGTGGATGCTGTGTGTGTTCCATGGCCATTGTTGTCCCGGGCAGACATGTAATTCTTCTTGAAGTTGGCTTTGTCAAGGCCAGCCGCGTAGTACCGTGCACCAATGATTTTCCTGCTGCAATTGGAGGGCCCCCAGGCCTCTCCTAGTTGACAGACGCCCTTCCATCGTGATGGTATTGCATCATATCCGTGGTCATGGAAGCTTTTTGATTCAGGCCAAATACCTGCATCAATAGTATGTGTTGTCCTACTTAATGTACATCCATGTACATGTTCATGCATGAGGAATTTTGGAAGAATTCTGTAGGTCAAGATTTTTACAATTGATTCCATTAAAATGATGGACTTACCAGTGTCAATTATCCCAATAATTATGTCTTCTCCATAGTTGCTCCTTTGCAGAAACTCACTGGGTGGTTCATTTTTAAGCCCGAGGAAATCCCAGCTTCTGGTGGTCATTAGCTCATGCTTCTGATTTGGAGTAATACTGATAACTTCAGGTAATTCTGAACATGAAAAAAAAAAGCATCTCAAAAAATAAAGCACATTAATAAACATGCCATTTCTTTTTGGGGGAGAACGCATTTGCTTTACAGAGGCAGTTTCTGATAGTGAAAGCAGTTTGCAATGGTAAATTGATAAGCACATTAGTGAACATGCCATTTCTTTTTACCATTCAATGCTAGGAATACATCGGAACTGAATCCTCTAGTCATCTATCTTAACTGATAGCAAAAGGCTTTTAACATGAACTATTTACAAATAAAGGTCAGTTAAAAATCCGCCTACCTGCCAGATCCTCAGCTTGGTCTTCTGTTAACATTGCTGCAAAGCCTGAAAAGCCATGCTTGTAGCTGTAGGTGATGGAAGCCTTGGCCTCCTCCTTACTGAAATTCAATTAGTAAATTATCATAACCAATTATAGAGATATTTGATATTGTTAAATCAAGTGGTTCAAAGAAAAGAAATCTCTAGAAACAAACTCGAAAGCCAAAAGAAGAAATTCTGAGGTTACCTTCCAATAATACTGCTGAGCATGTCATGGTGTGAACCAGTCACAAGAGTAGGATCATCATGTTTCTTCTCACCAAGGTAGGCGATGTACAACTACATTTAGAGAGTCACATAAAACATTTTTAGCATTCCAACAGGATCAGTTTTATGAAATGAAATGCAGTTCAGTGTGTCATCCATACTCTGCGAGATCCATGTGCTCTTATTAACATCAGGCAAAAGCTAAATAGGAGGCAAGATGAAAACAGTCGAGAAGAGAAGTGAAAAGCCATGTTGTGATTACTAGTTCGTTTCAGTAGGTGGTGTTATTTATAGTCCATTACCCAATATCTTTAGCTGTCAAGCTAGAATGCATTATTTATTTCAGAAAGAAAGGGCAGAGCTAGGTCCTGTTCGATGAATTCAAAAAACTTCATTGTCAATCACAGTGCAAGATTTTGGATATAATGTTACGCATTGCGGCTAGTTTCCTCATTCCAGTTTAACTGGTATGCCTTGCGGCTGAAGCATGGGTTTGTACCACTGTTCCAACCCCAGCTTATCTTGCAGCATAAGAATTATGGCCTAGAATCTCTATATTTCTGATTTATACGTTGAGAGGATAAAGACGTGTATTGCCGTGCTGTGCAGTGAACAATGGCCTAAAATCTGTATATTTCTGATTTGTATGTTCCTCTCCACATATCTGATTTATATTTCTCTATATTTCAGGATAAGAGTAAGAAGCTATCAGCTCACTGACGAGCAGGGATTTTTTCCAAACAGTTAGTGAGTGTAATCACTTGGTGTGAGCAAATTTCTGCGCCCAGTTACATCATCTGGCATTTCTTCCAAACAGTTAGTCAAAACGTTCCAATCAGCAGGGATTTTCTTGCAAGATACTATCATGCTTATGTGTCATCATTTTTTTCCTTGGCATTTGTTAGACATCATTGTATGGAGTCATGACCCACAGTTTGACTAGTCGAATCCAAGGAATAGTAGGCGTTAATCAAGTGGAGCACAATCTGTTTTCTTGGAAGAGAAGTAGAAGAGGATAAATTGAACCTTGAATGAACTTCTTGAGTGATGATACTTCTCGATGGTAGATTGGTAGGATGAAAGGTTGATCATCCGTCTGTTTTTTTTTTTTTTTTGAACGACTCGCACGAGACGGTGCGAAGTTCTATTGATAGAGCAGGAAAAAATTACAAGATTACAACCCTGGAGGGTCGTAACCAGGAAAAAGGAAAAAAAAACCACCACCCACACATCGACATCACCAACACACCAACCCAGGAGAAGGCTAGCACTGGAACGGCCGCCGCTAAGCGTGACCGACCGCCACTAGACCAACAAAGGGACACAGACGAGATCACCCCCCTAGGGGATGCCAAGACGACGTCTTCAAGAAGAGAAGCGACAGAAAACCGCCGCCGCCATCCGTCGAAGCTCAAAGGAGCCAAGACTGAGCTTTCGCCCGGCAACCACCCTTGAGGGGTGAGACAGCACGACAACGCCCTCAGGCATTGTTGTCGGTCCGGCCGAGGCCAGACTAGGTTTTCACCCGCCGCTCACCACTTGCGAATCCACGGCTGATACACCGATGCTCCACCACCACACAAGCTCTGCCGACATGTGGAACCCCTGCACCGGCGTCCCCCGCCGGCCAGCCTTCGTGCGCCGAAGACCGTGCCACTCCCACCGGCAGCTCCTCCTCACACCTAGGTCGCCTCCTCCACCGCCGGCCGCGCCACTCGCGCCAAACCGGCCTCCTCCACCGGATGCGCCTCTCGCGCCATTTCGGCCTCCCTCCATCGGCCGCGCCTCTCGCGCCAAGCCGGCCTTCATCTCCGCCGCCCGCGCCTCTCGCGCCGAGCCGGCCTCCACTGCCATCGGCTGCGCCTCTCTGCGCCAAGCCGGTCTCCGACCCCTCCACCAAACGACGCCACGCCGGCCAAAAGCAGCCGTCTGCCACGCCCTCGGCTAGCCATCCGAGTCCGCCATGCCTCCGGTGACCGCAGACACGGTCACCGCCACCGCAGCCGCTGCTGCCGAACGCCCAGCCACCTCGCTAGCAACCCGCATCCGCCGACGTCGCCACCGTCCACAGCCACGGCCGCCGTCGCCACTACCACCGATGCCAGCCTCCGCCTCCGCAAACCGTTGCGCCGTCGTCCTTCGCCACCAAGCAGCCAGCTCGACGCCACCGCTGCCAGCCGACGCCGCTGCCAACTGCCACGAGCACCACGGCGGGCACGACCGTCGCCGCCGTCACCAACAGCCGTCTGGCCGGTCAGCCTCCGCTGCGTGCCGGCCAGGCTGCTCCTCCGATCCGCGTTGCCGCGCCGTCGCGGCCGCCGCCGCCGCGAGCTGTTCCGCCGAGTCGCGCCCCCGCTGCCGCGAGCTCGAGGTCGCGCCGCCGTCGCCGCAAGCACGAGGTCGCCCGCCGTCTTGCCGCGCCGCCGTCGTCGGGAGCTCGAGGCCGCCCGCCGACTTGCCGCGTCGCCGTCGCCGCGAGCTCGAGGCCGCCCGCCATCTTACCGCGCCGCCGCCGCCCCTCTCCCGATCTGGCCGGCGGGGGGCCAGATCCTCCAACGGGGAGGCCGGATCCGCGTCCGGCGCGACCGGATCCGCCCCGCCGGCCGCTCCGGCCGCCGTCTTCCGCCGTGCGTGCGTAGCGCCGCCTCCCACGCCGAGGGGGTGCTCCGCCGCCGGCACGTTTTCCCCGCCGCCGCCTTCCCGACCGGCCGCACGGTTTCCGGCGGCGGGCTCCGGCGGCGGCGAGGTGGCTGGAGGCGTTGGGAGGGTGCGGCGCGGGCGGCTAGGGTTTCGCTCCCGAGCCGCCCGCGTGAGAGCGGCGCGAGAGAGTGATTTTTCTTAGTATATCATCCGTCTGTTTTCTCCTTGGACAGTACTGAACATTTGTTTTAGCAAGTGGACAGTGAACGTACCCTTTTCTTTTGTTGGTGAGCGTTTCTGGTACAAGGAAGTTGCACGAAAGAAGCCAATGAGATTTGAAAGGTCGTAGTTACTAGCAACAGCGCTGGTTAGCGTTTTGGTCATTTTAAAACTCTTCAAAGTGGCATTTTAATCAGAAGGCAAAGTACTAAGTGATATTTTATCCAGCGTATTTAGTGAGTGGCTTTTTATCGAAATCAAACGAATAAAGGTGGTGTTTGAATCTTCTGAAGATGAAGATTAAGTGTTTCACGCAAAACGATGTGGTAATAATATGTGATTAATTTAGTTTTAATTATAACAAACTTGAAAAATGATTAATCTGATATTTTAGAACAACTTTCATATAGAAAGTTTTTACACGAAACACACCATTTAGTAGTTTAAAAAACGTATAACTTAAATCCAAAATTTAATTTATCCTTTTAAGTAGATTCGATCGGGGCCGAAGTGGCATTGTCTTGTTTGCATCGACCAGTGCTAGGAAGGCCATAGGGTGGTAGGGGCCCAAGCAGCCGAGTCAGCCTGTTTTTGACGGATCGGGCCCATCCTAACTAACAAGAAGACGAGGCCCAAAAACTAGAATCTACACACCGAGGACACCGAGCCTCCACCGCGGCCGCGGCTGGGGAATTTAACTATTTGCCACTTTTAGATTGGGTAATTATCTAAATACCCCTTTTAGGTTTGCACATTTTTTTTTGCCCCTCTTATGAGATGCTATCTTAACTATTTGCCACTTTTGCTCACGTGGCATGCCAACATGGCAACGGAGAGGAGAAACCGGTGTGGGACCTACTAGTCAGCCTCTCATCTCTCCTTCTTCTCTCCCTTCGATCCGGTGTTGTGCCATCGTGACGAAGCAGTGGCGCCGGGTGAGGAGGAGCAGCGGCAGGCGGGGCTCCTCGTGACGGTGGAGGACGCGGTGGCGCCGGCAGAGGAGGAAGCGTAGCGGCGACGGACGGGCTCCTTGCGGAGGCGGTGAAGGCGGAGTGGCGGCATTGGCGGAGGACACGTAGAATCGGCGGTGGACGAGCTCCTCGCGACCGCCGAGGAGGCGTAGCGGCAGCGCGGCGGAGGAGGAAGCTTAGCGGCGGCAGCGCTGGCAGAGGAGGCGAAGCGGCGGCGGACGGGCCCCTCGCGGCGGCGGCGTTGGCGGAGGAGGCGTAGCGGCACCGGACGGGCCCCTCGTAGCAGCGTCGCCGGCGGAATGGTGGCGCCGGAGGACGCGTAGCATCGGAGGGAGAGAGGAGAGGAGAAGAAGGAGGCTAACTAGTGGGTCCCACACCGGTTTCTTCCCTCCATTGCCATGTTGGCATGCCACTTGGGCAAAAGTGGCAAATAGTTAAGATGGCATCTCATAAGAGGGGAAAAAAATATGTGCAAACAAAAAGGGCATTTGGATAATTGCCCAATCTAAAAGTGGCAAATAGTTAGAGGATCGCCAAACGCCTCTGACCCTTGACCTCCCTTGGCCACCAGCCCACCAGGTTCGCTACCTTCGCCCTGTCCATTATACATGTCTGCTGGAAAAAAAAATGCAAATATCATATTACTCGAACTTGCACGGTGAAGAATTTGGTATAATCCCTTGGGATGCCAGCATCAGCTGCTCCAATCTAGCTATGTGCAACCTCCATAGCCAAATGGATATTGCTTCCGAGGTATTGCCACTTCTGCTAACATTGGCATGTGATTTTCGTGTGATTGGACATCATTCAGAACAAAATGTCTAGATAGTATTTGATGCGAATGCTGTGACACTCAGTTTACACTTTACAGCAACACGAGTCCAATGTGGGTGTAGAGACTAGCAATTCCTAGCAAATTCTTATAGGTAAATCAATTCAGTTTGGTAGTTCGGAACATAATAATCTACTATTGCTTTTAGTAGAGTCTCCAGTGAGGTGTGGAAATCTTGAAAATATGAAAGAACTAACTAGTCGAACAAAGATGCCTCGCGAGACTCAATTTTATAGTTCTGTTTAGTTATCATGCCCTTAGGACTGTTTAGTTATCACGCCCTTAGGCGTAATACTGAGCTGAATCCAGATAAACAGCTTCTCATTTTGGTCTGTGTTCTAGATTGAAGTGAGCAGGATGATTCACAGGACCTCATTATTTCATTTCATAGCCATCCTTCTTTTTTCTGTATTTTCAATGCAGCGAGCACTAAACACTAAATGAAGTTGCCATCCAAATAAATACCGGTAGGATATTCTTATAGATGAATGGCAATAAAAGCTACATAGAATTCATGGTAATACTGTTGTGGCTGATTGATCAAGTAGATATTGAAATTACTTCTGTGGAACAAGGCATTTATTATAGTTTATCCTATTGTTACTAAGAACATTATGATCCTGGTAAAAGAAAGAACATTATGATCCTGCCTGGCTTTTATGCAATGTCTGCGTAGAAATCCTGAATTGTAATCCTGACTGCTATCGGGATTCTCACTGTCTTCTGGCCGTTGTGCCAAGTAAGGCTCCCAAACGTGTAGTCCCCCTGCAGCTTCCATAGAGGTGAAAGCTTTACCTGGAACGTATGAACTTTGTTTGCAGCATTGAACACCAGAACAGGTGGCTCAACATCCATCTTTACGCCAGGTGGGCTCTCGATTGCAGCGTGGTAAACAGCATCAACCTCAGCTACATTTGTGACCGTTCTTGATACGACGACCGGATACCTAAGATCGGGAACTGAGATGGACGGTAGGTTCAGATAATACCCAGGCAACGATGTCGCATTGCACCTTACATATGGCTTTACAGTGCATCCAAAGAATTTGTTGTAATCGCTTGGATCAATGTCGTAAATCAGGCCAGGATCAGCTGCTCTGTTAGGGTTGATGTGCCCGCCTCCATAGTCAAATGGGTCAGCAATCTTCCGAGGCAACCCTTCGGCCAGTATGGGCATGCCACGCTCATCAGTTACAGATGCTTCACCATGCAAATGGAGCATAGGTTAGACAGATGCAGAAATGCCCATAGATGAAGTGAAACATTTTTCCAGAGAAGCTGGCCTCACCTGTGGTGACTATGGCTGATTTTAGTGCAGCAGGTGACCAGCTTGGATGCAGAGCTTTCAGCAGCGCGACAACGCCTGCTACATGCGGAGTAGCCATTGACGTCCCTGAGGCAAATGCGTATGTGCCTTTCACTGCTGCTAAGATGTTGAATCCTGGTGCAGCTATGTCTGGCTGTTAAAGAAGCAAGACTGAAGTTAGATTTCAAATGATTATATGGCTTGTGAGACACCAGTGGAGACGTGGATTTGTGTGTGTGTGTGTGTGGTGGTCTAGGTACCTTGATAATTTCAGGGTAATCAGTTGAAGGGCCTCTTGAAGAGAAATCTGCCACTTTTGGTGCCATTATCTCATTCCCCGTTACGGTGCGTGCTGGATCGATCTTCACAATGGGTGAACTGCTCGGACAACCAGAATTGTGTCATGCCATTGCAAACTATTCAATTGATCCAAATATTGTATCTGTATCTTTCTTAAACTTAAGATCTTAACTTTATATCTTTATTTGAGAGCACGTATGAATTGATCAGGAAGTGTGTTACCTTGCACTGAGTATGTATTTTCCGATCTGTTTCACTGTGTAATAGTCCACAATAACACACGCAATACCGTTGCATCTGGCTGTCGAACTTACAATATCCCACGTATACTGAACGAAAATCATGCCCACCCCTCCGCCTTTCACGACGTTTCCTAGAGCTTCTTGGAAAAGGATAGATGGTTTGTTGAGAGTAAAAGATGCGCACAGCACAATGCTTCCTTTGACATCCGTGCCATTCAGAGCATCCTCTGTGCACCTAATTAACCATAGAAAAGCCAAGTGAAATTGTATCAGCTTCCGAGCTCGTGACATTTTCACAAAGAATTAAGCAGTTTAATTTAACAAGTGACTGCTTAGATATCTAGGGTGACTTTAAACACATAATCTGTGTTTAAATTCTAAATTACTAGACATGAACTTGTGCTGCCACACTTGTTACTTCATATCAATCATGTCCGTACTTACTGCATACTATCTTTTTTTTCCCCGATGTTGACACTAATAGATAAAACTAGTAACTTACTACTCCCTCCGTTTCAGGTTATAAGACATTTTGACTTTGGTCAGAATTAAACTGCTCTAAGTTTGACTAAGTGGTAAATTGGTAAAACAACAGTAGCTATAGACATAATTCTTGATTAAAAAAAGCACAAGATGTCATATGTGACCTTTGCATAGTAACTTACTACTCCCTCCGTTTCAAGTTATAAGACGTTTTGATTTTGGTCAGAATTAAACTGCTCTAAGTTTGACTAAGTTTATAGAAAATAATAATAATAATTTCAACTCAAGACAAATATATCATAAAAATATATTCAATTATAAATTTAATTTAACTAATTTGGTGTTGTAAATATTACTATATTTATCTATAAAATTTGGTCTTTAAATAGTTTGACTTTGACCAACACGATTTATAACCTGAAATGGAACGGACGGAATACTCTACAACCAGAAGTGTGGTAGTACATAATACATTACTGTTTTTGCTACTCGAGGAGCAGGTCAACGTACAAGAAGTAAAGAAAAACTCTACCACAACCAGAGCGAACAACAAGGAGCGAGCGAGGCCAGATGCGACTGCGCTTCACGTGAGAACGACGACGCAAAAGAAAACGTGAATCTCAATGCAAAATCTAACCGTTAAAAATTCAAGTGATTCTGAGGGAAAAAATGTTGATAAACATATAGCAAAACCGTACTCCACATTTTTTTTGGGAGAAAAGGAAAGACTTTAATTATTTACCTGCCTCCAACTCCAACGACAAGGCGTCTGAAACCGCTGAGCGATGAGTTCTTCCCTTGAGAGTAGAGAGATTGTCCCTGAAAATGGGAAGATTTGATATGCATCAGCAGAGTACATATAATCAACGCATGCACGGCACACTCTTGTTCTTCGTGGCACGGCGTTTTGAACTTCGAAGTTTGAACGTAGCGTACCACTATCTGTCGCTTGTCACCCAACGTGATCACCGTCGGGAAGGACCGATCGATCTTGCTCGCCGCGACGGTGATGACCCAAGGGGCAGTGTTCTGAACCACCTGAGGCGCAGGCCCAAGGTTCATGGCGGCGTAAACCACGGTGATCCCCTTCTGGACGGCGTGCTGCGCGCCGAAGGAGTTCTCCAGGGTCCCCAGGGAGAGCGACAGCACGTCCACGCCGTCGTGGATCGCGTCGTCGATGGCGGCCAGCACGGTGGCGGTGCTCCCGGACCCCGCGCCGCTGCCGCTGCCCCACATGGACTTGTACACGGCGATGCGAGCCCTGGGCGCGCCGCCGCGGGCGGCGCCCTCGCCCAGGCCGTGGAAGCTGACCGCCTCCACGACGGAGCCCGCCGCGGTGGACGCCGTGTGCGTGCCATGGCCGTTCGCGTCGCGGGGCGAGAGGTAGTCGATCTTGAGGTCGTCCTCGTCCACCCCGGCGTGGTAGAACCGCGCGCCGATGATCTTGCGGCTGCAGTTGTTGCTGCCCCATCCTTCGCCGACCTGGCACACGCCTTTCCACCGTGCCGGCACCGGCCCGTAACCTTCGTCGCTGAAGCTTCTCGACTCCGGCCATATACCTGTAGTACGCGAAAGCTTTGACGCGAAATTAATGCATCTGCACAGATCATTTAATTTGTTCATTGAGTAAGATCATGCAGTAATCGACTTTTATCAAATTCTAACCAGTGTCAACAATGCCAATGATTATCTCCTCGCCGTAGTTGGTTCGCTGGAGCAGTTCAGTGGGCATTCTGTAGTTCAGTCCAAGCATGTCCCAGCTCCGAGTGGTCGCCGTCGTATACGTTTTGCTTGGTTCCACACTAAGGACTTCCGGAAATTCTGTAAAAGAATGCGAATTAATATGACAATATATATAACCAGGGGCTATATCCCATTAGGTCTTGTTCTATTAATCCCTAGGAGAAAGCCCTAATGAGAAAAAGAACTCCAAAAGTTAAAATATACTCCATCCGTTTCACAATGTAAGTCATTCTAGCATTTTCCACATTCATATTGATGTTAATGAATCTAGATAGATATATATGTATAGATTCATTTCCACATTCATATTGATGTTAATGAATCTAGATAGATATATATGTATAGATTCATTAACATCAATATAAATGTAGAAAATGTTAGAATGACTTACATTGTGAAACAGAGGGAGTACATGAATTGACCAAATCAGTTATTAACAAAGGCATTGTTAGCAATTGAAAAACACACAGGGTTAGATGACAAAACCCTGACCTGCAAGTTGCTTTGCTTGATCTTCAGTAAGCATCACGGCGAAGCCTGAGAAACCATGCTTGTAGTTGTGGATGATAGAGGCCAAAGAATCTTCCTTGCTAAAAAGTTTACGAATACACATACTTAACTAATTCGTCGACGGCGAAGCACATTATAAAATAACCGTAGATAAATCAAAGTGATCATACAAATTAAGCATGGTTAAACTGACAATGGGTACGCATACCTTCCAAGAACAGTGGTGAGCATATCATGGTGTGAAGCGATGACATCGTCGGGGTGGCTGTGTTTTACATCACCGAGATATGCTATGTAAAGCTAGAGGTGCAGGCGGTTAATTAGCGACATGTCTGAACTAGTTATGTACTCCTTAATTTAAACAGTACTGTGTAATTCAAGCATACAATGAGCATGCACGCTTAGTTATAACTACCTTACGAGATCCGTGTGCTCTGAACAACAATGTGCAAAAGTAAAGTAGTAGAATTGCACGAGAAGAAGAATATAATCCCATTTCGCATATACTAGAGTGACTCTACTCTACTCTCACAGGCTCTTCACCATTTCGTGCAATCTCGTCGACTAGTATTTGTAGGTGTCTGGAGGTTGAGTTCTTCCCCGAGTGCACCTGTTATTTTCCCGTTCTCTTGTTCTTTCCATTTGATTAGCTTCATAGATACGGTAATTTCAAAGTTTACATTTGGGTTTGTTTGTCGTTCATGTGACGAGCGCATCCGTTTTCCTTAGACCGGTTCATGTAACTGTAACTACGCTGACTTATTGCTGGAGTATTCTTTTTTTTTTCCCTGATTACATATGGTTGGAGCACCCATGCTGAAGCTCAGTTGGCTATGTTACTTATGATCAATCAATTTCTCAACCATATGTAAGATCCTTAATTAAAGAAACAAGCATATGCATCATCCATCTCCTTATCGCGACCATGTCCTGCAACGGAAAGTAGCTGTCAACTTACGTGCTCTTTCCTTTGAAGTGGTAAAAGGGTTTAATCTTTTGTTTTAGATGTGAGAGTGTTGAATCAGAACTTACTGATTGCATGAAGATTTAAAGGGTTGAATCAGTAATTAGTGATTTCATTCTCAGGTTTACATCGTAGTGTCTAACTAGGAATCTACTGGGATCATCTTAAGCGGCATCGCTGAATACGGCTGAATGGCTCAGGCCTTTCGTGGCTCGGCCCAGTTAATCTGGACAGGGTCCAGTTATTCAAGGGCCCTATTAGGTCCACTTCGGAGCACAAGGCCCATTTTGTGCTTCGAGGCCAGAAAGAAGGCATCCCATATCCGACTCTCTCTCCATGTACAGGATCGTCGAATCCAACACCGGCACGGCGGCGCCGCCGTGCGGCGAGCCAACTCTGGCCAGCAGTCGTCGCCTCGGTCATCGTCGGCGGGCGGCCGCCGGCAAATGCTGTCCCCAAGTTCCCAGCGTCTGAGCCGGCCAAGCCGATGATGAAGGAGGTAGCAACGAACAAGCCCCACCCCCCCCCCCCCCCCCCCGCCGCTAGGAGCTAGCTCCGCACACGCACCGAGGCGTCGCCCGCCGGATGCTGCCGGGCGACCCGAGTTCGTCCCTCCTCTGCCGGTTTCGTCTCCCTCGGCGGCCGTCCCAATTGACGGCGAGTGAAGAAAGGTAATCCTCACAAGCACAGAACGACTCTTATCCTCTTCTACGGGCACAAACACGCGGTGTTCAGATCGTTTCTCCCTCTCGGATTTGCCTCTTATTTTGCAATTTTCACGGACATTCGGGCTATGCTACATCAGCGGTAGAAATTATGAGCCGTAATCTGTACAGCATTTGAGATCCTCACTGTATGGTGCGGCTATCCTTCCAAGTAAGGCAATCTTCTTGCCTTCTTTTTTTTTTAAAAAAAAAAAATGTAGCCCCCTTCATTGCCGTACATGTGATAGTCTAACTATGAACAGATGGATCGATGCCGATTTTGATTCCTGGTGAGCACTGGATCTTGGACTCATGGAGTGGCACACTGCCTCGAGTATGCTCAATCACATTAGCGAGTTCTTGTTGCACTTCAATTGGATAATCAGAGATAGATATAGAGGGCAGGATTAGTGGCGAGCTGATAAATTGGTTACGAAGAGTGTAAGGTCATTGTTTATATCTGTGCACGTTTTTCTCCAACCCATCAATGTACAATTTATAGAGGCAAGTTTCTCTGCTGGGCATCTTGAGAATTGACAGAAACATGACATACAAATGGAAGAAGACAGTTATGTTGGATGAGTTATCTTTTTCCCCAAAATTTTGAAAGCTACTCCGTATTTGCCTGTCAATATCCATTGTAGTAGTTAGCTGATGATATGCTGCGATCTTCCTATGTTAGACTTTAGCACCACCAGGCCCCTGTTGGTTTCTCTTTAAAATATTTTGACTGAGATGAAACTGTATTATTTTACATCAATGCATTTGTTTCGCTATTGAAATACGTAGTAAACCAGATAATACTCAGATAAATTTGTAAGACTTCTATTTTATTTTGTTTTTCATTTTAATGATCAGTTCTAAGCTACACAGATAATACTCAGATAACAACACAATGTGCAAATAGTCCATCTCCAGAAGTTTTGACTCGTCCCGTTTGAACAAGCGATGCTATCCTTTGTTCGTAAGTCATGTGTTTGTTGGTGTACAGGTCATGTGTAACCATTTGTGGATTATTAATTCCATTATGACCAATGTTGTTCCACATGCACATAGACCTTTTCTTTCCCTTGCTCGTCAAAATACATCATACTATGAGTTCATCTTGGATACTCTGTAGTTTGTACTAATCATCTGGATTTTCTTAGCTTGCATGACATTGACTCTTTGTATGATAACTAAATTTAACATGGGAAGGGATATAACATGAACAGAAGATTTTGTTGGAGTTTTTTGTCCTAAAAAGTAGTCGTGTGCTTTGATGAGAAGTAACCTGTGCACTCTTACTGTCGCAACTTGTTGACATGGGCAAACCAAAACGTGAATAAATGTCTGATAGGTGGAGTCAGGCTATAGAACTTTACACAATACGGGGGTGCCATTTTCCTTACCTTCTTTTCTACAGAGTAGCTAACAGATCAAATACCTGGAATTTCCATCAAGTAAAATCGTGTGTGGGACTGACTTCTGATTGCAAATGAACTTGCAAAGCATGTTTTGAGTGTCATCTTGTGACTTTTTACCACCCCTCTTTGTCATTGCAGGTAAGCATTGTGACTTTAATCAGTGTCATACCGCGTTAGGTGGGAGGAAAAACTACATGATATTTTAAGACATGGCATGACATAGACCTGAACATTTTTGTATTTCTGTAACCAACATGGTATGAAATTGACCATCCATCGAAGTGATAATCAGATACGTGATAGAAATGAAATACATTGACCAGTCAACATTGGCCGGTCATTAACTCATTATTCTGGTGATAAGTATTTACAAGCAACCATATCTCTGTGGAAATTGGTATATCCTGTATTTTGCTCTATTGCCTCTAAGAGCACTGTGTTATTGCCTGCATGTTTTGCCCAGGTTATGCAACATCTGCATAGAAATCTTGGATGGTGATCTGGACTGCTATTGGAATTCTCACTGACTTGTTGTCATTGTGCCAAGTAAGGCTGCCAAATGTATAGTCCCCTTGCAATTTCCATAGAGGTGAAAAACTAACCTTGAAGGTGTGAACTTTGTTTGCAGCATCGAAGACAAGAACAGATGGCTCAACAACCATTTTAACTCCAGGTGGGCACTGGATTTCAGCGTGGTAAACTGCATTAACCTCACCTACATTTCTAACTGTTCTAGATACAGTTGTTGGATCCCTGAGATCAGGAACAGCGATTGATGGTAGGTTCAGGTGATACCTAGGTAGCATTGTTGCATTGCAGCTGGCAGATGTCTTGATGGTGCACGCAAAGAACTTGTTGTAATCTGTTGGGTCGATGTCATAAATGAGGCCAGGATCAGCTGCCCTGTTTGGGTTAATGTTTCCACTTCCGTAGTCAAACGGATCAGCGATCTTCCGAGGCACTCCTTCTGCCAGTATTGGCATGCCTCGTTCATCAGTTACAGACGCTTCAGTATGCAAAATGAAACATGGGTAAGATTGCAGAAAATCACAGGAACGATTTAGAGGTTGGGGTATTGAATTTCTGTACCAGTAGTAACAACTGCCGATTTTATTGCAGCTGGAGACCAGTCTGGATGGAGAGCTTTCAGCAGCGCAACAATGCCTGCAACATGTGGCGTTGCCATTGATGTTCCTGACTCAAGTTTGTATCCGTCTTTCACGGCTGCTAAAATGTTGGATCCTGGTGCAGCTACATCAGGCTGTTACAGAAGCAACCAGACCGCTGGTAAGATGAAGAAATTCCCCGGCTTTCATCGGATGAACCTCTAGCGCCTAGCTGAGTGCTAAGTTGGAGTTAGCTACCTTAATAATATCAGGGTAATCAACTGATGGACCTCTCGAGGAGAATGCTGCCACTTTTGGTGCCAGTATCCCTTCACCCGTGACAGTGCGTGGTGGTTCGATCTTTGCCACTGGTGAGCTGCTTAAATACGATAATAGTTTAGGAAGTGTTGAACTCATTAGAGAAGTTTGCAATTTGTTTTACCTTGTGCCGCTGATGTATGAGCTGATCAGTTGTGCAGTGTCAAGGTCCACAAGAACACAGGCAGTGCCGTTGCAGTTTTTTGTGACGTCCAGGATGTCAGTTGTGTATTGAGCGAAGATTAGACCTGAACCCCCAGCATCCAAGACGTTTTTCAATGCTACCGGGAAAAGCATAAGCGGTGGTATCCCGAGGGAGGTGCACAGCACAACTCTTCCCTTTATGTCCGTGCCGTTCAGATCATTATCGGTGCATCTATCCACACAAGAAAACGAACAGCTCATTAGCTTCTTATAAATTAAGCAGAAAAAAATATTGGCAAAGGCATTTTTTTTCATACAGGCCTCCATCTACTAGAAGTTTGAAGGTGCTTCCTGATGAGTTCTTCCCTTCGCTGTACATGGACTGTCCCTGCAAAATAGCCAGAGTTTCGCACAAGATCAGCCGTTGAGCAGTTGAGCACACACCATGAGGTGATAAATGGTTCGCATTTGCGCCTCCTACCACTATCTGAGTCTTGTCCCCCAGAGTGATCACGGTCGGGAAAGACCGATCGATCTTGCTTGCTGCGACTGTGATGACCCATGGAGCCGTGTTCCCAACCACCTGCGGCACAGGTCCAGAGTTCCCTGCGGCGTACACGACGGTGATCCCCTTCTGGACGGCGTGCAGCGCGCCGAACGAGTTCTCCTGAACCTCGAGGGACAGGGATAGCACGTCCACGCCGTCGTGCATGGCGTCGTCGATGGCGGCGAGCACGGTGGCGGAGTTCCCTGACCCGGCGCCGCCCCTGCCCCAGACGGACTTGTACACCGCGATGCGCGCCCGGGGCGCGCCGCCGCGGGCGGTGCCCGCGGCCAGCCCGTGGAAGCTGACCGCCTCCACGACGGAGCCCGCCGCGGTGGACGCCGTGTGCGTGCCGTGGCCGTTCGCGTCGCGGGGCGAGAGGTAGTCGATCTTGAGGTCGTCCTCGTCCACCCCGGCGTGGTAGAACCGCGCGCCGATGATCTTGCGGCTGCAGTTGTTGCTGCCCCATCCTTCTCCGACCTGGCACACGCCCTTCCACCGTGCCGGCACCGGCCCGTATCCTTCGTCGCTGAAACTTCTTGACTCCGGCCATATCCCTGTGGCAAGTGCATCCTATCTTACTATAAAGTTATCCCCCACTAACTTCTTAAACTTGACATGCAAAGATGCCATATCATCATCTACTAACAAGATGTCACATCATCATCCAACAACAATCATTACATTTAAACATCATGCAAATATACTATATCTTTATAGTTTTTATAATTTAAGAGTTTTTCAAATACAAACATGTTAAATTATCATCCAATATAATTCACATAATGTTTCAATGTATATCTTTATTATCTTTTATGACATCCTATATACTTATATAGTTTATCCTCACTTAGTAATTGTTTAAATGATTAAGAGTAAATTTCACAAAACTACAGGTATTTTGACTAAATTATCACAAAACTACAGATTTAAGGAGTTGTATCACAAAACTACACATTTAGCACCAAATTTATCACAAAACTACAGATTTTAGGTTAAGTATCACAAAAATGCATATTTAATATTGAACTTATCACAAAACTACAACTTTTGTAGTTTAAATCCCTAGCACTATTGTTATGGTGGAGCTATAAGCATTATTACTTTGTGATTAAATTGGTTTTAAACCTATAGTTTTATGATAATTTAGTTACCAAACATGTAGTTTTGTGACACTTCATCTTAAATGTGTAGTTTTGTGATATACTGAGTTAAAACTGTAGTTTTGTGATAATTTAGCCATAGTATCTGTAGTTTTGTGAAATTTACTCAATGATTAATCTATGGTTCAAATTATCTTTCTCCTTTTTTCCTCGAATTAAGTCATATCACAACCTTTAAATGATTAATCTACGGTCCAAACTATCTCCCTACTTTTCTTTTTCCATAAAGTCATACCAGCTTACTTTTTACGTTTGAATCATCATTCTACATACTATTTAAATTTAAATTATCATAAACCATATTAATTTACTTAATCTGATATTATCTAACTATCTTACACATTATTTTTTATTGTTATCATACTAAATTCCCGCAACAATGCGCGGGGTTTCACCTAGTTTATTTACTAGATTGCACCAGAAATGGCGCCACCATAAACGTTTAAACCTCGCAAAAAAAAATTAAAACATGCCCCCTAGACTAACCGGTGTCAATAATCCCGATGATTATCTCTTGTCCGTGGTTGCTCCTTCTGAGTAATTCACTGGGCTTTTGGTAATCCAGCCCCAGGAAGTCCCAGCTCCGTGTGGTCGCCGTCCTGTACCTCCTGCTTCGCTGAACGCTGATGACTTCTGGTAACTCTGGAGATACAATGTACATCAAGCAAACCGCACATCAGAATCAGAATTTGTGTGAAGTATCTATGATTGGTGTGCAGACCAAGATTATCCTGATCCTCTACCATAATGGCACTACCATTACAATCACTAACATGTGGGTTCTACCCTCCTATTATTCCACACATCAGTGTCTATAATGGTAGTATCATTATGGTAGAGGATGTGAACCTAATTCTAGGTAGGATTAACTGACCTGCAAGCTGTTCTGCCTGCTCAGCTGTCAGCATGGCAGCAAAGCCTGAGAACCCATGCTTGTAGTTATAGATGATGGAAGATAAGGATTCGTCTTTACTGAAAGTTCAACATTTGGTTGGCAAGAATTCAAGAAACGGTTTGTTATGCACTTGAATTTGAAAGTACATATGGTTCGCCAAGGAACCGTTTGTGCAAAACCAGAAAGGTGAAAGGGTGCAAAATATGAAGTAATTAAATTGAGTAACTGACGGAGCTAGGTCACCTTCCAAGAACACTCGAGAGCGTATCATGGTGAGAAGCAACAACGTCGTCTGGGCGTGCATGCTTTCTGTCACCGAGATACGCTATGTACAGCTATAACAGAGGGCATTGAGACATTTCTGAGTGAGTTAAATTATCTCGAGTGAGAAACAATTCTTGAAGAAGGCATGCTAAGTTGCTAACCTTGCGTGATCCATGCGCTCTGATGAACAGCATCCAAAAACAAAGTAGCAGCAATGAAACCAAACGGTGCTGACAAGAATGGACTTCCATTTTTATTTTCTTTAGGTAGTGAGTGACTGTGAAGCGAAAAGGCCAACTTATAGATGCCCGAATTGAAGGTGTCATATTCTTCGGGTCAACAAAGTTTTTTTTTTTCTCAAGCGCCTCTTTTCTTTTAAATTTTCTAACTCAATCTCCCTATAATCTTCCTTTCACATCTTATAATAACTTGCAAGGCCTTGCAAACACCGTATGGTGCTGAGAATTTCCAACTTGCAGTATTTCTGATGACCGAGTCTACTCTCTTGGTCTTCTAATCATTTTGCACCTTCAAGCTTCAAGGCTACAATGCATATTCCTTTTGAAAAAGGCAAAATGTGGCTTAGCTTGTGGATACCTGAAAAACATGTTTATTTTTCCCGTAGACAGAGCACCCACTATTTTATTATTATTATTTAAACTATTTTGGAGAGAGAAATTCATAAAATGACCATAATGCCCTTAAACCAAACCCGTTCCTCATTCGACTAGACCACCTCACGCCCTTCGTATCAAAACCCAAACCCTAGACACGTGGCGATAGAAGCGGTGGTAGCAACTCCATCAGCAGTATACCCCCCGCGAAGGTGGTTGCGTGTTGTAGCGGGTTGGCTCTCTTGCTTTTGAGCTTCCCTATGCAGTCATTGCCCCAACTCCTTATGGCTTTGGTTGAAGAGGGGACACATAGCTCCTCATGGCTTTGGTTAAAGAGGAACACATGGTGGATGCGTCAATGTCTAGCCGACACCACCATCTCCACATGACTACTAGGTTTCACATCGTGCTCGCTAAGAGCCAGTACTATAAGTCTCTTATCACTAGCCAAAGATACCGTGTAGACTCATACGATGATGTGGCGCAGAGAATAGAAGATAGGAGAGAGGACGAGCCACTTCTCATGTAAGGAGCAATCTCTAGACAAATTTCAAGAAATAAGAGAAAGAGAGTAGTGGATTGGTAGTGAGTGTACTAGGGTTAGTGTAAATTGAGGCAATCTATTATATATGTTAGTTCTAAATTAATGAGTAGATAATGTTGACAAAATTAGAGGTGAGTATTATCTTTATTATAAAACTTGCTTTGAGTACACGCTAATAAGCTCATAGATATTGGCTCCATCCGCACTATCGAGGATGAGGACCACATCGTGGATTTTTGGCTGCCACGTATACATAGCCAGATTGGCAACACACACGGTAGGAGGCCTCAAGCATAAGGAATGTCGCGTCCACCAAATGATACTCAACAACTAATGTTAGTGCCACTTGCTCTTGGTAATGGGGATGACCGATTGCAAGAGGAGGTTGCTCGCTATGGCTATCATGCCAGTAGCCGTTTGGCATGCCCATTGGATCTAGATGTCTGCACCGACACATATGTCATTTCCTCTTCTTAAAGCAAGTTTAATAGTAGGTTATAACCAACTATATAAGCTTATGTGAATGAGAGAATAAGAAAAATAGGAAGTGTTAGGTTTCATACAAGAGCTATCTTTTCATATTGTCCAAAGTAAATACATTAAATACATACTCCATTCATCTTAAAATATAAACACTTCTAGAATAACGCTAAATCAAACTTTTTAACTTTAACTATTAACAACTAAAAAATAAAAACTATCAATCACGTAAGAATAATGTTGTTTGATTTATTATTAAAAAACTATCATACTATGCAACTGTTTTTAAAAAAAATATCTTATTTTTTAAATATTTTTAGTCAAATTAGTATCTCAATGATCGTGTCGAAGTTCAAAAATGTTTATATTTTGATATGGACGGAGTAGGTGAGAGGAAGAGATTTGAGAAGAAAATTAGAGATAACTTTTTCAAGTGTCCAAGAGGAAACAATTTATCTGTTATAAAAAAAACGACGAAATGCATTTCCGTGAACACAATTTAGAAGACGGTTCAGCTGTCCAATTCCTGGACGTGACAATATGAAACAGATCATGATTCATGCCACGACTTACATTACCAGGCTGCAGCCGCGTTTGACTAATCGGAGCATGGAACCTCATAATCCATGTAAATTAACTCATCCAATGTGACAGCACGACGCGGATGGGTGAAAACGCATATTTTGAAAGTTCACCGGCCGTCAACTCAACTGCACCCTCTCTTTTGTTGTACTTTTCTTTGCAGATGTTAATGTCAGGTCATTCTTAAAAATTGATTCGATCCAGCTAGTGGAACAGGTAGCCTCAGTGAGTTTTCAGATGAAACTGATCCTTCAGAAAGCTATCTGGTTATTACAAATTTTACAAGTTGTTGAATGCTTGACATGGTCCTCGCTCGCCTCAGGCTCATCAGGATTGTGGGCTAATTAACATGGAAAAAGTACACCGAAGGTCCCTTAACTTGTTATCAGGATACAAAAACGTCCTCGAACCGCAAAACCTGATACGCGAGGTCCCTTAAGTTAACTATACAAAACCGTTCGCGAGAAGCCGCCCAGAAAGAGAGAAGAGGAGAAAGAGGGAAGGTGATGATGTGGCTTCCCGACATGTGGGACCCACGTGGGTCCCACGCTGACTCAACAGCCACAGCCACATAGGATAAAACCGGGGTCAAAACCACCTAAGGACCTCGGGTGAACGGTTTTATATAGTTAAGGAAACTCGCGTATCTGGTTTTGCGGTTCGAGGATGTTTTTTATCCCGATGACAAGTTGAGAGACCTTCCGTGTACTTTTTCCAATTAACACAGCGCAATTATTCATAGGCCTAACGGCAAGCAAATCCACGAAGTAGAGGCCCAGGATTGGCCACGGAACGGAAGCCTCAATTCACCCAGATTTCATGTCTACGCACAAAACTGGCCCATTTGGCGCGCCATAAAGAGGCCAGCCCGTGTCCATCGCGATCAGCTTAGGCCATCCGGCGAGCCCACTCCGGCCACAGCCTTCCTCGTCGCCTCCGGTCTTCATCGGCGGGCGGCCGCCGGCAAATGCCACCCCAAGTTCCCAGCGTCCGAGCCAGCTGGCCCAGCGCCGCCACCAAGGCGTCGCCCGCCGGAGGGACAACCCGCAAGTTCATCCCTCCTTGCCGGTCTCGTCTCCCTCCACGGCCGTCCCGATTGACGACGAGTGATGAAAGGTAACAGCATCGCAAACACCAAACAACTATTACTTCTCTCTTACGGTGTTCAGATCGTTTCTCTCTCTTGGAATTGTCTCCCTTGATTTTGCAATTTTCGCGGTGCTAGGCTACATCGCCGTAGAAGTTCTGAACCGTAATCTGGACAGCAGTTTTGATCTTCACTGCATGGTGCTCATATGGCTCTCCTTAGGCGTTGAAGGCAGGGAGCGAGGGAGCGGTGGATTGATGCCGATTTTGGGTCCTGGTGAGTACTGCTGGATTATGGACTGCCTCGAGTATTCTCACATAGATTAAGGGCTTGTCAGGTTAATCTCTATAGGATTGAAGGGATTTGGAGGGGATTAATTTCACACCTGTTGAGATGCGGAATTAATCCCCCTCACTCCCCTTCAACCCCTTCTTTATTATTGGATTAACCGAGCAATCCTTCAGTGACTTTTCGCACACTTTAATTGGATAATAATGCAGGTTTGCGTGACAAGCTGATAAGCTGGTTAGGAAGAGTGAAAGGCCATTGTTTATAGGAAGAGTGAAAGGCTATTGTACAGTACAAATTATAGAGGCAAGTTTCTCTTCGGCAGCTTGAGAAATGACAGAAGCATAGCATGCAAATGGAAAAAAAAACAGTTCCTGTGGGATAACTTGCATTTTTTGCTGAAATCATAAATTCTATTTGCCTGTCCATATCCTGTGTATTACTGCTGGAATTTTGATGTGTTTTAGGCTTACGTTCCACCAGGCCCCTATCGGGTTCCTTTTAAAATGTTATTGTTTGAGATAAAACAGTACCCAAAAATGTAGTAAATATCAGGTTAAATATGTACGACTTATTTTATTTTTTTTTCATTTCAGTTCCAAGCTACAGAGACAATAACTCAGATCACTGTATTACAATGCGCAAATAGCCCATCTCCAGTATTTTTTTTAATCATCTCAGTTTTAACAGGCAATACTATCCTTCGTTCACAGGTCATATGTTTCATCAGTGTAAAGGTGTAACCATTTGGGGATTAGTAGTTCCATTATCTTCTTCTGTTATGTTCCTTTTGCGCATAGACCTTTTCTTTCCCTTATCAAAGTACATCATACTATGAGGCCATCTTGGCTACGTTATACTAGTCAAGTTGAATTTTCTTAGATATGATGGCATTGACTTTTGTAAGATGACTAAATTGCTAATGCTTTGGATACAATATCTTAACATTTAACATGAATGGGATAGGAAGAAGACTGTGTTGTAGTTTTTGGTCCTAGAAATAGTCGTGTGCTTTGATGATACACTCTTGCAGTTGCAACTTGTTGATGTGATAAAAAACTGAAACGTTAATACATATCTGATAGGTGAAGTCAAGCTATAAAACTTTAAATAATACACGATTTGTGTCATCTTCCCTTCTTTTTACAGCTTACTGGTCAAACAGCTGGAATTTCCATCAAGTAAAATCATCTATGGGACTTTGACTTTTGATTGCAAATAAGCTTGCAAAATGTGTTGGAGCATCTTCTTGTTGTCACATCTCTATCGTGTACTCCCTCCGTCCCATAAAAAACGAATCTAGGACCAGATGTAACATATTCTAGTACGATGAATCTGGACATATGTATGTCTAGATTTGTAGTACTAGAACATGTCACATCCGGTACTAGGTTGGTTTTTTGTGGGACAAAGAGAATAGGTGTATTGCATGTAAGCATTGTGAAACCAAAACTGAAACTATCTGTAGTCATTGTCATGCTGCGTTAGGTGGGAGGGGCAGGTACATGATATTTCAAAAGTTGGCAAACATAGACCTGAACATTTTTGTATTCTGGTAATAAAGAAATACACAAAACCAATACTTCTGTAGTTCTGTGGAAATTGGTATCTCCTGTAGACTCTATTGTTTCTATGAGCGCTGTGTTATTTCCTGCATGTTTCACCCTGGACCCAGGTTATGCAACATCTGCATAGAAATCTTGAATGGTAATCCGGACTGCTATTGGAATTCTCACCGACTTCTTTTCATTGTGCCAAGTAAGGCTGCCAAATGTATAGTCCCCTTGCAATTTCCATAGAGGTGAAAAACTAACCTTGAAGGTATGAACTTTGTTTGCAGCATCAAAGACAAGAACAGATGGCTCAACAACCATTTTAACTCCAGGCGGGCTCTGGATTTCAGCGTGGTAAACTGCATTAACCTCGCCTACATTTGTCACTGTTCTAGATACTGTGGTTGGATTCCTGAGATCAGGAAGAGCGATTGATGGTAGATTCAGGTGATACCCAGGTAGCGTTGTTGCATTACAGCTGACAGATGTCTTGATGATGCACCCAAAAAACTTGTTATAATCGCTTGGATCGATGTCATAAATGAGGCCTGGATCAGCTGCCCTGTTTGGGTTAATGTTTCCACCTCCATAGTCAAATGGATCAGCAATCTTCCGAGGCACTCCTTCTGCCAGTATTGGCATGCCTCGTTCGTCAGTTACAGATGCTTCGATATACAAAATGAAACAGAGGTAAGAAAAAATGCAGAAAATCACATTTACAGACCACACTTTAAATTTCCACTAGCATGGTTACCCGTGGTGACAATGGCCGATTTTATTGCCGCTGGGGACCAGTCTGGATGGAGGGCTTTCAGCAGCGCGACAACACCTGCTACATGTGGCGTTGCCATTGATGTTCCTGTGCCAAGTTGGTAGTGATCTTTCATGGCTGCTAAAATGTTGGATCCTGGTGCAGCTATGTCAGGCTGTCATAGACGCAACAGCAACAAGACCATTGGTAAGATGAGGAAACACCGTGGCTTTCTACCGGAGGCTAAGTTTTTCTCCTAAGTTGGAGTTACGTACCTTGATAATATCAGGGTAATCAACCGATGGACCTCTCGAGGAGAATGCTGCTACTTTTGGCGCCAATACTCCTTCTCCTGTGATAGTGCGTGCCGGTTCGATCTTTGCCATTGGTGAGCTGCTTAAACACGATCATAAATTTTGTTCTAGGAAGTGTTAGAACTCATTACATAAGATTGTAATCATTGTGTATCTTTGCAGTTTGTTCTACCTTGCTTCGCTGATGTACGAGCCGATCAGATTTGCACTTTCAAGGTCCACGAGAACACAGGCAGTGCCGTTGCAGGCCGTTGTGATGCCCAGGAGATCAGTCGTGTACTGAGCAAAGATTAGGCCAGAAGCCCCGGCACCCAGGACGGTTTTCAATGCTAGTGGAAAAAGTGTAAGTGGTGATATCTCGATGGAGATGCACAGCACAATTCTCCCCTTCACATCCGTGCCGTTCAGATCATCCTTGGTGCATCTATCCACAAGAAAACGGTAACAACCCATTAGCTTCATATTCCCTGATTTATTGATAGAAATTAAGCACAAAAACATTGGCGAAGGCTTTTTTTTTTTTTTTGGTCTTACAGGCCTCCATATGCTAGAAGTCTGAAGCTGCTGCCTGATGAGTTATTCCCTTCGTAGTAGTACATGGACTGTCCCTGCAAAATAGCCAGATTTTTGGACAAGATAAGCCGTTGACCAATGAGCACACATCGTGTGGTGATTAATGGATCACGTTTGTGCGTCGTACCACAATCTGGCGCTTGTCCCCCAGAGTGATCACGGTCGGGAACGACCGGTCAATCTTGCTTGCCGCGACGGTGATGACCCAGGGAGCAGTGTTCCTGACTACCTGCGGCGCAGGCCCAAAGTTCGTGGCTGCGTACACAACGGTGATCCCCTTCTGGACGGCGTGCAGCGCGCCGAACGAGTTCTCCAGGGTACCCAGGGACAGCGACAGCACGTCCACGCCGTCGTGGATCGCGTCATCGATGGCGGCAAGCACGGTGGCGGAGTTCCCTGACCCGGCGCCGCCCCTGCCCCAGACGGACTTGTACACCGCGATGCGCGCCCGGGGCGCGCCGCCGCGGGCGGTGCCCGCGGCCAGCCCGTGGAAGCTGACCGCCTCCACGACGGAGCCCGCCGCGGTGGACGCCGTGTGCGTGCCGTGGCCGTTCACGTCACGGGGCGAGAGGTAGTCGATCTTGAGGTCGTCCTCGTCCACCCCGGCGTGGTAGAACCGCGCGCCGATGATCTTGCGGCTGCAGTTGTTGCTGCCCCATCCTTCTCCGACCTGACACACGCCCTTCCACCGTGCCGGCACCGGCCCGTACCCTTCGTCGCGGAAGCTTCTCGACTCCGGCCATATCCCTGTGGCAAGTGCACCACCAGACCAGCTGCGTTATAATGGGATTGCGGCAGAAATGGCGCCACCAAAAACATTTGAACGTGCGCTCTAGACTAACCGGTGTCAACAACCCCGATGATTATGTCTTCTCCGTAGTTGCTCCTTCGGAGTAATTCACTGGGGTTTTGGTAGTTCAGCCCCAGGAAATCCCAGCTCCGTGTGGTCGTTGTCTTGTACCTCCTGCTTCGCTGCACACTGATTACTTCTGGTAACTCTGGAGATATCAGATGCATTAAGCAAACCACACATGCTGAGTTTATCGGGATAATCATACTGCTCGATTAGAATCAGAATGTGAGAAGTATATATGATCGGTATTCTAGCCAAGTGAATCGATGTATCATCCTCTTTTCTGGATGGGTATATCAGTTTATTGGTAGGATCATCTGACCTGCAAGTTGTTCTGCTTGCTCTTCTGTTAGCATTGCAGCAAATCCTGAGAATCCATGCTTGTAGTTATAGATGATGGAAGATAAGGATTCCTCTTTACTGAAAGTTCAACATGGTTAATTGGTTAGCAAGAAATGGTTTGGTTAAGCTCTTGAATTTCAAAGTTCAGATGGTTCATCAAAGAACCTTTGATACAAAACCATAAAGGTGAAAGTATACAAAATATCATGTGATCAAAGTCATCAAACTAACTGACAGTGACAGAGATCACCTTCCAAGAACGCTTGAGAGTGTATCATGGTGGGAAGCAACAACATCGTCTGTGTGTGCATGCTTTCTGTCACCTAGATACGTTATGTAGAGCTATAGCAGAGGGTGTTTAGAACATTTCTTAGTCCAATCTCTTGAAAAGCAAATCGTGAAGGAGGCATGCTAACCTTGCGCGATCCGTGCGCTCTGATGAACAGCATCCAAAAGCAAAGTAGCAGCACTGAAGCCAAACGTTGCTGACAATAGTGGAATTCCATTTTTCTTCGTTGTGTAATTGTAGAGCGAAAGAAGGCCAATTTATAGGTGTGAGATGTCTGAATTTGATGGGGTCATATTCTTCAGGTCAACGAAGTTAGTTTTTCTCAAGCACCCCTTTCCTTTGCAATTTCCTAACTCAAAATCAACTAAGGAAGCGCCCCTTTTCTTTTCAATTTCCTAACCCACAATCTTCCTTTCACATCTTATACGAACTTTTTTACAGAGCACACATCTTATACGAACTTGTAAAACCTATGTTTCGTGAAGTGCGCGTAGTTCAATTGGTTAAATTTCTTGTGGTGGAATTTGTCCATCCGAATTTAAGTTTTAGATTGACACCATAGTTGCTCGTATTTATGATTAATTTTTTTTTTTGAGTGGTAAACATATCTCAAGATATGAAGTGCCAGTCTTTCAAACATAGTGAGTGTGCACGTTTGTTTGTAGTAGTCCTATGTTTCTTAAAAAAAAAGAAAAAACAAGCTACCTAAATACTCCCTCCGTAAAAAAAAAACTCAACCTAATACTATATGTTCAAATTCATAGTATTAGGATGTGTCGTATCCTGTACTATATTGGTTTTTTATGAGACGGAGGAAGTACACCTGTTAAGGCTGCAATGCATTTCCGTGAACACAATTTAGAATCTAAACGGTTCAGCGTTTTAAACCAATCCGTGCTTCCATCTGCTTGCGAAATGACATCTTTGACATAACAATATGAAACAGATCATGCCACGACATATACTACTAGGTTGCAACCGCGTTTGACTAATCGGAGCATCGAGCCTTATAAGCCATGTAAATTAACTCATCCAAGGTGAAAGCGCGACGCAGATAGGTGAAAAGCATGCGCGTGTGTGTTTTGAAAGTCCACTGCCAAGTGCCAACCCAAGTGCACTCTTCCTCTCTCTCTCTCTCTCTCTCTCTCTCTCTCTAATGCAGAAGTTAACGTCACTTACTAAAATTTGTCCGATTCAGTTAGTGGAACAAGTAGATCATCGAGTTTCCTTCAGTTGTCGCTTCCATCGGAAAGCTATTTGTTCTCAAGCCCACCAATAAAATTGGATCGCATATAAGAATATGGAATAAGATCACTTTGACTCCCTCAACTGACCGCCGAATCTAAATCGTATCCCTCAACCGCAATACCAGAAATCTTGACCCCCGAACTTACAAAACCGGTGCAATTTGACTCCCTCGGTGGTTTTGGAGGGTGGTTTCGCTGACGTGGCGCACACGTGGCAGTGTTGACCTAGTCTTTGTACCACGTGGCATTGACGTGGCGCTGATGTGGAATTAAAATAAAAAAGTATATGCGGACCCATTTGTCATTCACAAAAAAAAATTATGGGACCCATTGGTCCCACGTATCATCCTCCCTTATCCCTTCTTCCTCCTCCCTCTCCTCCCTTCTCTATCTGTCCCTCTTTCTCTTCATGCAAGAGCGGCATCCGGAACGGCGGCGGCGTCGGCGGGCGATGGACGGAGCGGCGACGGCGGACAGCGCGGCGACGGCGTATAGTGGGGGTCAAACCACCCCACAAGCTTTGGCGAGATTCAGAACACGGCGGAGGAGTTCGCCGTCGCCAAGATGCCGCAACCGCCGCCGTCGGTGTGCACGAGGAGCGTCACCTCCGTCGCGCTCCCGACGCATGGAGATGGCGGCGGCTGCTGCCGCGTGCCGCTCTCCCCATTCGACGCGTACTGGGCGCGCTGCTGCTCGTCCGCCACCACCACTGTTCGGAGACGTCGTCCGTGCACTCAGGGACTCCCTCGAGGCGTTGCTCCCGGCGTTCTACCGCTTCGCCGGTGCGCTAGTCTACTCGCCGGAGGAGGAGGAGGGGTCGCTGTCCATCGTCGTGGAGGCCGAGGCGTTCGTGGCATCGGTGGTGCGCTTGCCGCGGGGGATGATGGCGGCGGGGCTAGGGCTGCACTTTGCCATCCAGCAGCAGCCGACGGTCTTCGCGTCGCCTCCGCTGCCGCCGCCGCAGTAGCAAGGATTTGGCTTCAGCGGGTCCGGGACTGGAGCGGTGCTAGTGCCACGGGAGATGGGGATGGTGGTGCCCAGTGGCCACCGAGCCTCCTGCTCCTGCCGCCAACTTCCCGAGTCTTTGCGAGGCCGCCGCGGGCGCGGCCGACGGCAAGTCCAAGAGGAAAAAGGGGCGGTCTCGCGGCGGACGTGGTCGGGGAGGGGGCCCGTGTCGGAGGAGGAGGAGGAGTTCCAGTCGCTGCTCCGCATCATGGCCAGGTCGACGCCGGAGCGCTCGAGGCCAGTCTGCCGCCATGCGTTGGGGCGCGCAAGCTATTGCTCCCTTTCCACCGCGGCCACCGCACACCTTGCCGTCGACGCCGCGGCCGCCGCCCACCTCACTGCCCACGACACAGAGTGGGGACGAGGAGCGGCGGCTGGGAGCGTGCTCCCATCTCCCCCGACGCATTTCGTCGCACGTCGCCCGAGGTCCACCGCCCATTTCAAGGAGGAGCTGCTCCCGCGCTTGTCGCCCGAGGTCCACCGCCCACCGCAGCCACCACTCCGGCACCCGCTCGCCGATGCCGCCACCAAGCCCCTGCCGCCGGCTCATGTCAAGGGGAGAGAGAGAGAGAGAAATAAGGGAGAGAGGAGGAAGAAGGGTAGTGAGAGAGAAGATGACATGTGGGACCCACATGTCAGTGGGTCCCACAATTTTTTTTGTGTGAATGATAAATGGGCCCACATATATATTTTTATTTTAATGCCACATAAGCGCCACGTCAATGCCACGTGGAACAAAGACCAGGTCAACACTGCCACGTGTGTGCCACGTTAGCGAAACCACCATCCAAAACCACCAAGGGAGTTAAATTGCACCGGTTTTACAAGTTTGGGGGGTCAAGATTTCTGGTATTGCATATGAGGGATACGATTTAGATTCGGTGGTCAGTTGAGGGAGTCAAAGTGATCTTATTCCTAAGAATATTGCTGAGCCCACCATGAAAATCAGGTGAGCCCAAAAGACCCAATTAAGGTAGTCAAAAGAAATAAGTTCACCGGAGGTCCCTCAACTTAACAACGAAATTTTTTAAGGTCCCTTAACCACAAAACCAGAAATCTTCACCCCTAAACTATACAAAACCTCTAATTTAGGTCCCAAGGCAGTATAGCTGCCTGGTTTTGCTGACGTGACATCCTAGTCAGTAAAATTAATAAAATAAATATGTGGGGGCCCACATGTCAGTGAGAGAAAATGATGTGGGCCCCACATATATTTTTTCTTTTATTTTTCTCTTCTCTTCTCAACTTTTCACAGGTGGGCGGGCAGATGCGAGTGTGCGGCCGATGGCGGAGCGGGCGCGGCGGCCGGCGCAGCGGGGAGAGATGCAGCAGTCGCCGCGGCGGCGAGCGGCCAGAGCTGCGGCGGCGGAGGGCGAAGTCGGTGGAGGGCGAGTGCGGCTGCGAAGCAGGCAGGACGGGCGGCTGTCTCCCGGCCGGTCATCGGCGCCGCCCAAGAAGTACAACGCCACCCGCTGCAGCGTGCTGTTCGACGCCGTCGCGCACGCCGACCCTGCCGCCAGGCCGTGGTCGATCAGGATGCCCACCGAGCACAGCGCGTACTACATCGCCGACCGGTTGATGGCGCGGATTGCGTTGTTGGCCGTGCTCCGGGCGCCGTCCGACGACTTGTGGAAGGGGAGCAGGATGAGGTTGGCCTTGCAGCTGTGCATCAGGAGGCACACGTCGTGGTGCATGCTGCTGTACAGCGACACCACCACGTACGGGCTCACCGTCACCGCGCCCAGCGGCGCCTGCTGCTCGAAGCAGCGGAACGTGTTGACGATGTAGTCGGACGGCGTCGGGTTGCCGCTACAGGCTCAGCTCTCCGTCGCTCCGCCTGCCTGCTCGCCCACCGTCGCCGCTGGTAGCCGCGCTCCCCAATCGCCGCCCGCCGCCTGCTCCGCTCTCCACCACTCCGCCTGCCTGCATGTCCACCGCCGGCACTAGCAGCCACGCTCGCCCGCCGCCGCCCGTCCTGCCTGCTTCGCAGCCGCGCTAGCCCGCCGCCGACTCTGCTCTCCGCCGCCGCCGCTCCGGCCCCTCGCCGCCGCGGCTACTTCTGCATCTCTCTCCGCTGCGCGTGACCGCCACGCCCGCTCCGCCGTCGGCCGCACACACGCATATGCCCGCCTGCGCGTGAGAGGTTGGGAAGAGAAGAGAAAATAAAAGAAAAAATAGATGTGGGCCCAATCATTTTCTCTCACTGACATATGGGCCCCATATATTTATTTTATTATTTTTGCTGACTAGGATGCCACGTCAGCAAAACCAGGTATCTATACTGACTTGGGACCTAAATTAGACGGTTTTGTATAGTTTAGGAGTGAAGATTTCTGGTTTTGTGGTTAAGGGACTTTACAAAATCAAATCTCACTGTTAAGTTGAGGGACCTCCGATGAACTTATTCCTAGTCAAAATCATGTGAGGGCTGAAAAGCCCAAGAAGGCCGAATGCCTAAATTTAGCTCGGCCGTGAGGGGAGAACAGCTCGGCACGTTCTAATTCGCCGCCTCGCCTAACCAAAACGCGTCCCTTTCCTCGCTTTCCTCCCGTTTATAAGCGACGCGTGGTGGAGGCGGCCGGAAGCGCCCAGAACCAGAAGAGAGGTCTGCCCCGTGGTCAAGCCGTGCCGCGTCGTCGTCTCCCTCGCCTTTCCCCTCCGCTCCGCTTCGCCGATCAAGGTGACCTTCCCCTTCCCTTCTCTTACCCCGATCGATCTGGCTTTTCCGCGTCTGAAGCACGAGAGATCCTTCTGTGGTGGGAGTTCCTCACGCGTTTCGTGATCTCGCCACGAGCGAAGTGGATCTCGTAGGTATTGGGGGGTGGTCCTGTCGTTGATTTGGAGATCGTTTTGTCCGATTGGGTGGTGGTGTCGAGGGTCTGGGGGAGTGGAAAGTGGTGGTAGGTTAGGTTCATTCGTTATTGCCTCGACGCGAAGATGCTGGATTTTTTTAGGGCGAATTCAGGCGTCAGATTTGGGGAATTTTTAGTGTTAATAGACGTTACCTGTTTTGTTTTGATCTAATATGTTCATACATCATGGGCTATGATCCCGCTATTTTAGTTAGTGTCCGTAAAAGAGGCATTTCGATTTCCTGCTGCTTAGAATGATCGATTTTATAATTGGCTTCTGTCTATGAGTAGGGGTGAAAACGGTACGGAAATTTCCGAGAATTCCGGCTACCGTTTCCGGTTTGCACCGACCGTTTCAATCGGTATCGGTAATTGTCGGTATCGGAAATGGAAACGGTAATCTCTTTCGGAAATGGTAGCGGAAATGATATGGGGTTTTTTCCGACCGTTTTGTCGGTAACCGTTTTTTATCGGTAATTTCCGTCAAATTTCCGACAAAATTCCGAAGAAGGAAGTCGGCTGGGCCTGGCTAGCAGGAGGAGGAGCCCATTAGGCATTAAGGAGCAGCCCATTCTGAATAAAGAAGCCAACTAGGCCTGACCGCATCGTCGTCTTCATCGGCGCTGGGGCACCGCCGCGCCATGTTGGGCGCCGCCACCAGGTCGCCGACGCTGGCCGCAACCTCCTTCGCCCCGACGGCCTCCGTCGCAGCCGGCCACCTTCCCTCCCCCATGCTCCACCGCCGGCTTCCGTGCCACCGAGCCAAGCGCCGAGCGCCGCCGCACCGCCCCAGCCTCCTCCTCCCCACCGATGCCGCCCCTTTCTCCTCTCTCCTTCCCCCACCGCCGCCCTGCGCCAGGCCGCCATCTCCGGCGCCTCTCTCCTCTCGGGCGCGCGTGAAGGAGCCAAAGGCAGAGAAGAGAACGAGAGAGAAAACAGAGAAGAAATTGAGAGAGCAGGAAAAGGAACCGAGAGAAGGGAAGGATAAGAGAGAGAGAAAAAATAAAAGAAAGAGAGGAAAAGAAAGACGGTGGGATCCACTGGCGGGCCCCACCATCTTGACTCCTCTCTGTGATCGACCTGGAAATACCAAAAAGTCTAGTTTAGCATGAAACTTAATTACAACAGTAGTTATACAGTGTCAACATAAAAGTTCTTATGCAATGTGCCACTGTAGGACGACGATATAGCTATGTCAATTGATGATGAAATAATGAATGATGTTTGACAAGGAGCTGATCAGCTGAAGCCATGCCAGCTTGTGAGCTTGGTGTTCTCGAAGACTTCAAATCTATATCCTAAAAAAAGTCGGACAATATTAGTTATGCTGTAATCCTATCATGTAAGCCACATTGTATGCTTTAGCCACATTGATGTTGAAGTATCATTGAACTTTATTTATATTATTTATCAATCTTATTGTCAACTTATTAATCATCATATAACGGTGTTGTGTGGCAGCGTAATGATGCAAGGGTGAAATTATAAGGTCATCTTCATACATAGTTAAATGCGGGATGATACCACAGTTCGCTGTTTCCGACATGAATTTTCGACTTCCGTCCGATATCGGTATATTCCCGTTCCGACGGTTCCGTTTCCAAGATACCGATATAACCGATATCGTTACCGTTTCCAAGTATACCGTTCCGATTCCATTTTCGAGAAAATAAAATGAAAATGGAAATGGTAGAGGGTTTTTCCGACCGTTTCCGACCGTTTTCCGCGTCTGAAGCACGAGAGATCCTTCTGTGGTGGGAGTTCCTCACGCGTTTCGTGATCTCGCCACGAGCGAAGTGGATCTCGTAGGTATTGGGGGGTGGTCCTGTCGTTGATTTGGAGATCGTTTTGTCCGATTGGGTGGTGGTGTCGAGGGTCTGGGGGAGTGGAAAGTGGTGGTAGGTTAGGTTCATTCGTTATTGCCTCGACGCGAAGATGCTGGATTTTTTTAGGGCGAATTCAGGCGTCAGATTTGGGGAATTTTTAGTGTTAATAGACGTTACCTGTTTTGTTTTGATCTAATATGTTCATACATCATGGGCTATGATCCCGCTATTTTAGTTAGTGTCCGTAAAAGAGGCATTTCGATTTCCTGCTGCTTAGAATGATCGATTTTATAATTGGCTTCTGTCTATGAGTTAACACAATTTAATTTTGCAAGTTGGGAGGTGTATTGATGTTTATGCTTGATTTGCGTCAGATACGTTTTGATAATTCTGTACCTGCGCGAATTACCCAATTAGTGGGACTTATTGCAAGACCATATCTGCTTTATAATACAACGTTGACATAAATTGTTGAATGTTCTGTTCTACCACCAAGAAATCCATCCCTAACAGGAACTATGTGTGGTAGCCTGGTAGGATATATGGGGTCATATAATAATATGTAAAACGGCACTGGTGCATTTTTGTTGGATTTTTTCCGGGCTTAAATCCACCTCGATTTTTGTTGGATGTACTTGAGCTGTAGCCTGTATCTCTTATGTTTCCCTGGTTGATTTCATGTGCATTTTTTTTGGATAGATGCCATCAGACCCAATCATGATAAGAAATAATTTTGTTTTGGAGATGCACTTCTTGCTGGCCACTTATCTTTTTTAGATGCGTTTGATTGGAATGTTTGCAGCTTGCATTGAGACAAAGAAATCAGCTTTCATCTGTTTGAGACCAATCAAACTCAACTAGCAAATTTCATGTCTGATCTCGACGTCCAGCTTCCATCAGCTTTTGGTATGCACACATTTCCTTGGATATTTAGTTATCATAACATCGCCTGTGCAAGCTTTAACGATTTGATCAATAGGTTCTACTTCTTAGAGAATAAATATTTATATTTCTTTTCTAAATTACTTTAGATTACTCTTAGTTGTATATTTCAGTCAACAGGATATATTGATATCCAGTTACGAGCTATATTGTTTAGAATTGTATCTTATCTGGTTTACCTCGTTTCTATTTAATTTTGATTAGGAGTAACTGGTAGTCTATTCTGAGCATGCCTGAACCCATCATTTGATAATTTTGAAATCTTCCCTGTAGATCCGTTTGCGGAAGCCAATGCTGAGGACTCCAGCGTTGGTGCTGGATCAAAGGACTATGTACACGTGCGCATTCAGCAGCGCAACGGAAGAAAGAGTCTGACTACTGTTCAGGGCTTGAAGAAAGAGTACAGTTACAACAAAATCCTCAAGGATCTGAAAAAGGAATTCTGTTGTAATGGTACTGTAGTCCAAGATCCAGAGTTAGGCCAGGTACAAAATAGCATTTCTGTTGTGTTGGATTCACATTGTCTGGTGTGAAATAGTGAATGTGTATAATGATGAATGTTCTGCTATTTTTTCAGGTCATTCAACTTCAAGGTGATCAGCGTAAAAATGTTGCGACGTTCCTAGTTCAGGTAATCTATATGATACCAACGCTTATCTTCATATTTGTTCAGATTGCTTTTATCTGATGAGCTTCTATTTTGGCTAGGCTGGAATTGTAAAGAAAGAGAGCATCAAAATACACGGGTTTTAGGCTACACATAATGCCTATGTGCTATTATATGATACAAAATATTGAAGTGTCTGAAGCCTGAAGTTGTGATAATACCAGTTTTTACTACTTCTAAGACATTTGAATTTGTGTCGGTGTGAGCTCTTGGTTATTGATGCAACTTGTTTCAATATGGTTTGTACGTGCTACCTATATGAAAATTCGGTTCTGTTATATTGTCTACTAAACAAAAGTATACTGTGTTTATCTAAGCTTTCGCTTCTCATGCAATTGTTGTTTGGATTTGGCATTCATCTCCTATGAGCTCTTACACTATCGATTACTATCACTTTTGAACTGGATAAATTCTAGTATTAATCAGCCACAGCGCACAAGACTTCGATGTGATCATGTGATCTGTGGAGGTTATAATATGTTATGAAACTAAGCTTGGGCTCATTAATTTGCTGTTAGGGAGACGCAAGGCAAGACCCAAGTCTTCGTTCGTATCCAGCATTATCACGTTTATTCAACACCCTGAACTGCATCACTTTTGCAGCCAAGGAACACATAACAGAAGTACAGAAACCACTTGTGTTATCCTCATCTATTCTGCCATCAGGCTTGGCAAGAGCAACCCAAGCTTTGTTCAGATCAATAGACACACACCACACCACACCACGTTCAGTTCAATATACTACGAGTTGGAGGGCCCTATGCTCCTATTCCGCCCTGCCTTCCATGTCCCGACCGCACCGGAGGTGTATCTCGTAGCCGCAGGCGATGCACTGGTACGCCCAACCGAGCCCCTGCTCGTCGCACTCGCAGCAGATGTACGGCCCTCCTCCCGACTTGTCAGACACGATGCTTAGCTCGTGGCGGTGGCCGGTGTGGCGCAGCGACGGCGGGTACCCCTTGGCATCCTCGTCCTCCATCTCCTGCAGCAGCCTGATCTGCTCGTCGGTGAACGGGAACGCCATGTCGAAGTAGAGGTTCACCAGGTTCCTCCCCTCCCTCGTCACCGTCTTGCCGTCGGGCCCAACCACCACCAGCGTCGGGATCTCCCGGACGTCGAAGTACCTGGCCAGCGCCCCCGACGACGCGCCGTCGTCGTACGGCAGCGCCAGCCACGGCATGTCGCTGCACGACCGCAGGTACCCGTCCTCCTCCTTGTCCATGGGGATGTAGATTATCTCAAAGTCCTCGGCCTTGCCCTTCAGGTTGCTGTATATGGCGGCCAGCTTCGCGGTGAACTTGATGCACGGCGCACACCGGTGCGCCGAGAAGTAGAGCCCTACCGTCTTCCCGACTAGGCTCGAGATGGGAACCTGCAGCCCTTAGCCATGGTGAGGCCAACAGCTGGATGCATTCATGCTTTGGATCAACGGCAATGGTAATGCAAGCTCGATCTTGTGCCATGCACCGACGCTCTTAAACTTGTTAGAATAATTGGGCTAGGCCCAACTTATAATATTAAATCTCAAAGGCCCATAATAAATGTTGAGGATAATAATACCACCTTAGAATTTAAGCGAGAAATATCTCAACCTAAATAGGGAGTTATTGGAGGCTCCCTGTTGACCAGTTGAGGTGAGGGTCGGAATGCCACGCGCGCGCGCGCGCCGGGCCGTGGGCGAGGGCGTGGCTGGCTGGCGGCGTGCGTCACGTCGCTATCCTTTTGCAGCCACTAACCCACGTTCCCACGATTCCCTCTGCAACACTAACCCACGTTCCCACGATTCCCTCCGCAACAGCGCGTCCACGTTCTTTCTCCTGATAGATAAGGAGGCCGCGAGTTCGATCCGTCTTCTTCGCTTCTTTCCCGGTGTTAGTTTCTCCTTCTCCGCGCCTGAGTTGCTCTCGCTTCCTCGCTTCTGATCTCTTGCGCGCACGAGAGATTGGAAAGAGCAGTGCCTCCGAAACCACACCTTCGCCTGAGATCTGCACCGGGTAGGCGGGTGAGCAGTGCCTCCGAAACCACACCTTCGCCTGAGATCTGCACCGGGTAGGCGGGTGATCAGGTTTTTGGGGAGTGCCTCCCGCACGACTGCTCGTCGCCATGTCTGGAGTTGCCGCCGCCACTGCCAGCGGAGGTGGTACGCCGCCGACAGGAGCTGGATCCGGATCCGGAGCTGGTGCGCCAGGAGGAGGTGCCGTGAACGACAACAACAACGGAGGCAATTCTGCCTCACCATCCAGCGGAGGGCCATTCTCGGGGTATAATCTTCTCCTCCTGCTACTGTTGTTAGCGCTATCCATGTTCCCATTGTTAGCGAACTATGTGCGCTATGTTCTTGTTCCTGTTCTACATGATGCCTCTAGCATGTTATCGCGTTACTGGTATGTTCCTGTTTCTGACATTCATGATGCGCATAGTATGCTACTGGTTATGTTAAGATCACCCTACGCTGCTTATGCCATGATCATTGTTTCAATTTCTTGGATTAAAATATGCCGATTAATGACTATATTGCCAACAATCCAAAAACCTGATAGGTCATTTTCGGTAGTTGGCTTTGCTGCTGCACTGAAACCACATGCTTTTGATGGTTCAAACTATAAGAGATGGAAAGCACGTGCACTATTGTGGTTGACAGCGATGCAGTGCTTTTATGTTTCACGGGGCAAACGAAGTGAACCACCTCTTTTTCCTGAGGAAGAGGCCATGTTCGAGGCTTCGGATTGCCTGTTCCGTGGAGCATTGATCAGTGTACTCGCTGACAACATAGTGGACGTGTACATGCACATGCCTTCTGGGAAGGACATGTGGGATGCACTTGAGGCCAAGTTCGGAGTCTCTGACGCCGGCAGTGAGCTGTATGTCATGGAGCAGTTCTATGACTACAAGATGGTCGATGATCGTTCTGTAGTAGAACAAGCTCATGAGATTCAGATGCTGGCTAAGGAACTTGAGAACAACAACTGTGAGTTGCCGGACAAGTTTGTGGCGGGTGGCATTATTGCCAAACTACCACCTTCTTGGTCGGACTTTGCCACTTCTCTAAAGCACAAGAGACAAGAGTTCAGTGTTCCTGATCTCATTGGCTCTTTGGGTGTTGAGGAGAAGGCGAGGGCAAAGGACGTCCGGGGCAAAAAGGTTGAGGGAGGTTCTAGTGCCAATATGGTACAGAAGAAGAACCCTCATGCATCCCACAACAACAAGAAAGTCAAGCCTGATGTCAAACCCAAGGCTGCAACCAATTTTAAGAAGAAGGGCAAGGGAAAGGCAAAGGGAGACTGCTTTGTGTGTGGCAAGTCTGGGCATTGGGCCAAGGACTGTCCTGAGCGCAAAGACAGGAAGTCTGCCAACATGATCATTAGCGAGGGCGGAGGAACATCGGGGTACGGTAAAATATTACCTACAGTTCTCTCTGTTTTTCATTCACCTGATTGGTGGGTGGATACTGGTGCTAATATTCATGTATGTGCTGATATTTCTCTGTTTTCTTCTTATCAGGTCGGGAGAGGTTCCTCCTTGTTGATGGGAAACGGGTCGCTTGCGGCTGTTCACGGTGTTGGTACGGTCGATCTAAAGTTTACTTCGGGAAAGACCGTGCAGCTGAAGAACGTGCAGCATGTCCCTTCAATAAAGAAGAATCTAGTTAGCGGCTCTCTATTGTGTAGAGAAGGTTTTAGACTTGTGTTTGAGTCCAATAAATGTGTCGTATCTAAATATGGGACTTTTGTTGAAAAAGGTTATGACAGCGGAGGCTTGTTCCGCTTTTCTTTGAATGACATGTGTAATAATCATAATGCTGTGAACCATATTAGCGAGAATGATGAGTCTAATGTGTGGCATTCGCGACTCTGTCATGTGAATTTCGGGTGTATGACGCGCTTAGCTAACATGAGTTTAATTCCAAAATTCACTTTGGTCAAAGGTTCCAAGTGCCATACTTGTGTTCAATCGAAACAACCTCGCAAGCCTCACAAGGCATCTGAGGCGAGGAATTTGGCACCTCTAGAACTTGTTCATTCTGATTTGTGCGAAATGAACGGCGTGTTGACTAGATTTTGCTATGTGTATCTATTGAAAACAAAGGATGAGGCATTGCATTACTTTAAAATCTATAAAGCTGAGATAGAAAACCAACTTGAAAGGAAAATCAAACAGTTGAGGTCTGATAGAGGTGGGGAGTATTTTTCCAATGAGTTTGCATCCTTTTGCGAAGAGTTTGGAATTATTCATGAGATGACGCCTCCCTATTCACCCCAATCAAATGGGGTGGCCGAAAGAAAGAACCATACTCTAACTGAGATGGTGAATGCCATGTTAGACACTGCGGGGCTTTCCAAGGAATGGTGGGGTGAAGCAGTTTTGACTGCGTGTCATGTCCTGAATAAAATTCCAATGAAGCAAAAGGAAGTAACACCATTCGAGGAATGGGAAAGGAAGAAATTAAATCTCTCATACCTACGAATATGGGGCTGTTTGGCCAAGGTAAATGTACCTATAGCCAAAAAGCGGAAACTTGGACCAAAAACTGTTGATTGTGTGTTTCTTGGTTATGCTATCCACAGTGTGGGTTATAGATTCTTAATAGTAAACTCTGGAGTACCCGACATGCATGCTGGTACAATTCTTGAGTCCAGAGATGCTACATTCTTTGAGAATGAATTTCCTATGAAATATACACCTAGCACTTCTAGTAAAGAAACTGTCATGCCCCATGAGCACTATGCACCGATAGAACACAATGATCAAACGCCTGAGGAAAATCCTGAGGAGGACAACATTGTAGATACTCGCAAGAGTAAGAGACAAAGGGTTGCAAAATCCTTTGGAGATGACTACATTGTATACCTCGTAGATGACACCCCAAGAACCATAGAAGAGGCATATTCATCTCCTGACGCTGACTACTGGAAGGAAGCAGTACGCAGTGAAATGGACTCGATTATGTCTAATGGTACTTGGGAAGTCGTTGAGCGTCCATATGGGTGCAAGCCCGTAGGATGCAAATGGGTTTTCAAGAAAAAGCTTAGGCCTGATGGTACAATCGAAAAGTACAAGGCAAGGCTTGTGGCCAAGGGTTATACCCAAAAAGAAGGCGAGGACTTCTTCGACACATACTCACCAGTTGCTCGCTTGACCACGATTCGAGTACTACTTGCTCTGGCAGCCTCTCATAGTCTTCTCGTCCATCAGATGGACGTTAAGACAGCTTTCCTAAACGGAGAGCTGGAGGAGGAGATCTATATGGATCAACCAGACGGGTATGTACTAGAAGGTCAGGAGGGAATGGTGTGTAAACTATTGAAATCCTTGTATGGCCTCAAGCAAGCACCTAAGCAATGGCATGAGAAGTTTGACACCACGCTTACATCTGCAGGCTTTGTTGTGAACGAAGCTGACAAATGTGTATACTATCGCTATGGTGGGGGAGAAGGGGTGATCTTGTGCTTATATGTCGATGACATACTGATCTTTGGGACCAGCCTTAATGTGATTGAGGAGGTCAAAGACTATCTGTCCAATAATTTTGAAATGAAGGATTTGGGAGAGGCTGATGTTATTCTTAACATCAAACTACAAAGAGGAGATGAGGGTGGGATTACACTTGTGCAATCCCACTATGTGGACAAGGTTTTGAGTCGCTTTGGATATAGTGACTGCAAGCCAGCTCCTACTCCTTACGATCCCAGCGTGCTATTAAGGAAAAACCGAAGAATAGTAAGAGATCAACTGAGATACTCTCAAATCATTGGTTCATTGATGTACTTGGCTAGCGCAACGAGGCCTGACATCTCATTTGCTGTAAGCAAGCTGAGCCGGTTTGTCTCAAATCCGGGAGACGATCATTGGCAGGCTCTGGAAAGAGTAATGCGCTATCTAAAGGGCACTTTGAGCTATGGAATTCACTATACCGGGTATCCAAAAGTACTAGAAGGGTATAGTGACTCAAACTGGATATCTGATGCTGATGAGATAAAAGCCACAAGTGGATATGCGTTCACACTTGGAGGTGGCGCTGTTTCCTGGAAGTCTTGCAAGCAGACCATCTTAACGAGGTCAACAATGGAAGCAGAACTTACAGCACTAGATACTGCGACAGTTGAGACCGAGTGGCTTCGTGAACTCCTGATGGATTTGCCGGTGGTTGAAAAACCAGTGCCAGCTATCCTAATGAACTGCGATAATCAAACAGTGATTATTAAAGTGAACAGTTCAAAGGACAACATGAAGTCATCTAGACACATCAAGAGAAAACTGAAATCTGTCAGAAAGCAGAAAAACTCCGGAGTGATAGCATTGGACTATGTCCAAACGGCTAGAAATCTGGCAGATCAGTTTACCAAGGGGCTACCACGTAATGTGATAGACAGTGCATCGAGGGAAATGGGCTTGATACCCACCTAAGGTTGCATAATAGTGGAAACCTGTCCATTGTGATCGGAGATCCCGTGAATTTGGATGGTGAAACAAACTATTGTGTGACTGAGAGAAGAGACCCTTGAAAAGGGCTCATTTTCATGATGTGCTTCTCTTCTTTTCTGCATGGTAGGATGGCTTATGTCTTAATGTGATCCGAGTGGCTTTTCCAAGCAGAGATGTTGACCTGCAGAACATCTCAGAAGGAACACACCTATATGAGTTCGACTGCTAGTCACAGTCTATGAGGTTTGGGCGATCTCTAGATACTCATGAAAGGCCTGGAGTTTGACTTATATGCTCCAAACAGAGGGGATGCGAACGGCAGCCCAGTACCAGTCAAGGTTCTGAGTGAAACCTGATCACACAAAACTTACAATTCAAGGCATAGTCCACTGTTCAGTTGTGGTCTGATGTAGCTCATTTCCTAGGTGGAAGTTCAACTTAACAGTCTCCACCAAAACCCTGGTATATCAAACAGGCACAACATTGAGAACATTTCTTATGAGCCTTAAAATTTGGTGGGGATTGTTAGAATAATTGGGCTAGGCCCAACTTATAATATTAAATCTCAAAGGCCCATAATAAATGTTGAGGATAATAATACCACCTTAGGATTTAAGCGAGAAATATCTCAACCTAAATAGGGAGTTATTGGAGGCTCCCTGTTGACCAGTTGAGGTGGGGGTCGGAATGCCACACGCGCGCGCGCGCGCGCCGGGCCGGGCCGGGCCGTGCCGTGCCGTGGGCGTGGCTGGCTGGCGGCGGGCGTGCGTCACGTCACGTCGCTATCCTTTTGCAGCCACTAACCCACGTTCCCACGATTCCCTCCGCAACAGCGCGTCCACGTTCTTTCTCCTGATAGATAAGGAGGCCGCGAGTTCGATCCGTCTTCTTCGCTTCTTTCCCGGTGTTAGTTTCTCCTTCTCCGCGCCTGAGTTGCTCTCGCTTCCTCGCTTCTGATCTCTTGCGCGCACGAGAGATTGGAAAGAGCAGTGCCTCCGAAACCACACCTTCGCCTGAGATCTGCACCGGGTAGGCGGGTGATCAGGTTTTTGGGGAGTGCCTCCCACACGACTGCTCGTCGCCATGTCTGGAGTTGCCGCCGCCACTGCCAGCGGAGGTGGTACGCCGCCGACAGGAGCTGGATCCGGATCCGGAGCTGGTGCGCCAGGAGGAGGTGCCGTGAACGACAACAACAACAACGGAGGCAATTCTGCCTCACCATCCAGCGGAGGGCCATTCTCGGGGTATAATCTTCTCCTCCTGCTACTGTTGCTAGCGCTATTCATGTTCCCATTGTTAGCGAACTATGTGCGCTATGTTCTTGTTCCTGTTCTACATGATGCCTCTAGCATGTTATCGCGTTACTGGTATGTTCCTGTTTCTGACATTCATGATGCGCCTAGTATGCTACTGGTTATGTTAAGATCACCCTACGCTATTTATGCCATGATCATTGTTTCAATTTCTTGGATTAAAATATGCCGATTAATGACTATATTGCCAACAAAACTTACCTGTTCTTGGCTACCGTTCACGTAGTCTTTCCCGCTGACGGAGAAGATCTTCTCCAGCGTCTGAGACGCGAACTTGCGCTGCTCGTCGGCCTCCAGCTCCGCCACCCTCGCCGACGTGAAGGGGAATGCCCGATCGCCGTAGCGGTGCACGAGCTCGACGGCATCAGGCTGCACGACCTCGCCGTTCGGGGCGAGCACCACCAGGCGCGGGATGCCCTCGACCTGGAACCTCTCGCTGAGGCGCTTCTTGCACCCGATGTCGCCGAAGGGCACGGCGGGCCACGGCATGGCGCGGTGGAACCTCTCGAAGGACGGTCGATTCTCGTCGCACGACACGAAGATGACCTCGAAGCCGGCGCCGTGCTCCTTGAGCTGGTGGTAGGCGGCGGTCAGCGCGGGGGTGAAGGCCTCGCACTTGGGGTACCAGTTTGCAGCGAAGTACAGCCCTATGATCTTGCCCTCTAGCTCAGAAATCTGCACCTGTGAAAAATACACCTTCCTTTGAGTTTTGATCAGATTGTTCATGGACCATTGGACCATGTATGGCTGACAGAAATGGGGAACAAGATATGGCAAAAAAGGCAGCAAAGGAATGCTTCCCGGTACAAAAGAAGGCGTACAGATGTCAACACTGAGACAGCAAAGTTGCAAACACATTCTGCACGAAGCTAGTATTCTGATTCTTGTAGTGTGGACTGGACTACAGAATACCGAACTGTTCTAAAAGCCGAAATCTGATTCCTCTTCTATTTCACAAAATCCACATACAGTTTGGATGTTCTCTATAAGAAAAAAAAAAGCATCTGCGTATTATATTAGAACCTTTCTTTCGGTTTGCGTTTTTACTTTTGCAACCAAAAAATAATCTTATACTGTAATTTATAAGTATAACCTTGAGAGTTGGGACTTGAGATTTCTTAGAGCTGGCAAAGGAGTTAGGATCGTAATTCAATTCTTTGGCACCCCGTTCCTAGCCACTTGTTTGAGAGGTTAATACTCAACAGTCGATGGGATCATAAGGCTTGCAGCTTCATCGTGAAAAACTGATGATTAAGGATAGTCAACCATTCCTGAGGAGTTACTCACTTTGATTTTGCCGTCTGACTGAACTGATACATCCATAGCACAATATATATTGATTTTCGTAATATCAGATCAATTCACCCGCATGATTTATATCCAGCCTAGCATGTTCAAATCCACCCCAGAAATCAAGGATGTGCTTATTGTTCGCTTGCCACAGTACAAGGCCTGGATAAGCAATCTTTAAAACCGGAGAACAGCAAGCAAGTTTAACCGACAAGAACCGATCGAGTAGAGAATCAGAAACAAAGCATGAACGGGACGAGCACCTCGTTCCCAGTTGGAGAGATGAGCGAGGCCAGAGGCAGCACAGAGCCGCCGACGCCCCCATTCTCCCGTGCTTCCTCCATCTCCGGCTCCCGTCCCATGTCCACTATTCTTCTCGGCGCTTTCCCTGTGTGCTCGATTTTGCTGGGCGGCAGGCGGCAGCCGCTAGCTAGCTAATAACTAGGTCCCTGCAAGACTTCAAGTAGTGGAACGGTCTATGCAGACAACGTCCTCGAGTCGAGTCACGCCACAGATTTTCTCCAGAAATAAATGGGCAGTGCGCTGTGCGCTCGCTTCATTCCTTTTCCACAGGGGCGTTCACGTCATTTCGGCCGCCGTGACGCCGTCCGTCCGTCCGTCGCTGTAGGGCGCCGGGTAATGGCCAAACGCGGCGGGGGCTTTCAAAGCCTTCGCGTGCGGTGTGGCGGTCTGCCGTTCGAGCAGCTGGCAGGGGCGCGGAGGCGACGGCGCGGAGCACGTCTTTTTGCCGCGCGGCCCAGGGGTACGTGGGGGGCTCGGTAGCTAGCAACGGTGGGCGTGGAAAAGGCACCGGGACACGGCCACACGGGGGTCAGTGGTGCGCTCCGACTCCGAGACCGATCGGCCAGCTGCAACGCAACGTGTTCCAGTGGGCGCGCGGCGGCGTCACGGTGGTTGCATCGGCTGTATGCATGATCGTAGCCAAAAGTCTTGACGGGAACACAAAGGAGGCAGAAGATCATCATCATTCGAGGATGGGAGGATTTTGCAAAAGGTGATCCGTAGCCATTGGTGGATGCATGATTAACGTCTGTTAAAGTTGAATCATGCATCGTCGTTAACTAGCTAGTGCCAGCCGTTACAGAATTAACCAGAGGCGGCCTAACGTCTTAAGACACGTCGCGCCTAAGGAACTCGCTCGAAAACGCGGAACGATCGTAGATGCGACATCCATGAAAATACGAAAAGATGTGCTCCATTATCGCCTCAACATCGAAAGAGACATACGTACCGCGCCAATGATGCTCAAGGCCGTGCTTGCTCCAGACAGACAACAGGAGCATGATTATAACCTTTCTCCCTTGTCTTCCAAGATACTGTACCCACACGAACACGGCAGCTAGCTTGGTCATCGCGTGAATCGGATAGGGCGACCGCACCTGTCACGCATGTACAGGAGTGAACTCCTGTAGTCCTGTAGCAGAGGCGATCACTGCGGAGGGACGTGATAAATGATGGTGCTCAACCAGCCCACCTGGCCAGCAGCCGCCGCAACCAGAAGGGGCACGTGGTGGTTGGTCCTGGTGGAGAAAGCTAGGGGGGATAGTACAAAACGAACGGCCAGGTCACCGGTGCGGCGTCGCGCTCGCGCTGCTCGCGTCACGCCGGGTTCAGCGAATGCCCATCAGCCCATCCTTCCTTCCGCACACGGGGCCGCGACACGTACGATACGACACGGCCAAGTCGAGCGCGCGTTTGTCCCTTTCGTCACGCAGCGTGAGACTGCAAGGAGGCCGGCGCAGGCGGCACCGAGAGGGGAGAGGAGAGGAGCCGAGGAGGAGGGCCCCTTCCGCGGTTCCGCCTCGAAGGAGCTACTGAGCTTTCCACCTTCTCGTGATGGCGTCGCGACTCGCGCGTGCTTCTTGAGTTCTTCGGTTTTTTTTTTTTTTTGAGAGGTTGAGTTCTTCGGTTCTTTGGCCCTTCGAGCCACTATTGTGAATTTGTGCTTATCTTTTCCGGCGGGGACAGGTGTGAGGCGTTCAGGACTTCAGGTCAGATGGGATTAAGGGGATGGGCGGAAAGAACGGAAAGGAGTAATAATGCAAAAGTTGCTTGCGTCTTCGGATGATCAACTGTCCAAGTATACATGGGAGAACATAGTCTATTCTCTATTGGGTATTGGCAGTCAGCCGTGGCAGTTTGAGGAAATCTCGACGCCAAGGCCGATTCCAACTTTTTTTTCTTCAAACTTTTAACTTTTCTATTACATTAAACTTTTTTACACACAAATTTCTAACTTTTCCGTTACATCATTTCAATTTCTTTAAACTTTTAATTTTAACGTGGAACTAAACACAGCCCAAATAGCTTTCTCGGTGTTGTTACTGCTGTATGACAGTAGGACTTGCGAATACCGCACCAGTAGGACTTGCCAACAATGAAGCCCATACACGACACACTGAGCTAGAAGACGGCCTGGTTAAATCGGGAAGGACGCGAGAGTTGTGATGGGCTAGAAGTGAAAGCATGGGGCTGGTTTTGATTAGAATAGTTCACTTTAGGTTCCTTAAATTTATCGTCGAGTCTAAAATTTATCCCTAATTCAAAATACCAGATATAACGGGTCTCTCAAATCAATCGGATCACCCAAGGTCTTAGACAGTATTATACCCGGTTTTACTTAACGTGGCAAGCCGAGTCATCTCCCGCGGCCCCCACATGCCAGTAAATAGTACTCTCCTCTCTCTCTCCTCTCCTCTCCTCTCTTCCCTTTCCTCCCAATCTGCACCGGGACCGGCGGCGGCCGGCGGGGAGAAGGGGCGGCGCCCTGCCTGCTTCCGTCGCCATCATCAAGCCCTCTTGTACACACGGTGTTGTGGATTGACGTCGCCGCCGTCGACAAGAGCAAGGTCCTTGAGGACACGACGACATAGTTAAAGACGACGAAGACGGTGAGGTTGCCGCCACCATCCGCCGTGACGAGGAGATGGATGTTGAGGACGACGATGTGGAGGCGGCCGAGAGGGAAAAGCGAGGCATGCCTACATCATTCCAAGGAGCCGTGCGTGTGCTTCCGATTGTTCCGGGAGGAGGGAAGGTTCATGCTGATGGAGGTGGGGATCCCCGGGAAGGAGAAGAAGAAGAGGAGAAGGAGGAGGGGAAGAGGATAACTGTAATCTAGCTAGAGGTGGGTTGAGCAAGTCCGGTTGAGGTTCATCACCCCACGACGAGTTGGGCGACCAGAGCAGAGCCCCTCGCGTCGTCCCCAACGTTGAGGTAGAAGTTCTTCCTGAGGAGCTTGAGGCGGTCAGGGAGGGCAGTGAGCAGGACGTGGACTCCAAAAAGGGTAGCAACGCAGCCAGCAAGGCCGCAACCTACTCCCAGCTCGAGCGCCCGCGCGTCTCGGAGAGCAAGGCGTACCGACTTGACGGCACGCTCAAGGAACTTGGCGAGGACGACGGCGCTGTCCTAGACAACGGCACCGGTGACGCCGGGCGTGGCCATGGAGGACGGGAAACCGTTGCGTGTGAGCGCGCTAGGCCGGCCGCCGCCCGTCCTTGTGACCTAGGTGGGAAGAGATGAGAGAGAGGGGAGAGGGGAGAGAGAAGAGAGAGGAGAAGAGAATACTAGACACTGACATGTGGGTCCATGCTGACTCGGCTTGCCACGTCAGCTAAAATCGGGTATAATATTGTCTAGGATCTTAGATGATCCGGTTTTGTAAATTGAGGAACCTGTTGTATTTGGTATTTTGGTTAGGGACAAATCTTAGACTCGGCGGCAAATTAAGGGACCTAAAGTGAACTTATTCTATTTTAATTTGTTTGTGCAGCTGTTAGGCCGATGAGTACGTCGGCTGTACCGGCCTTGTCTTTTTAGCTCTCCTGCCACCTTGGGCCCTATCTATTGGTCCCTCATCATAACAAAGGCCGCAAAGACATAAATAAAAATTATTAGACTGAAATAATCGCCATCAATTTCAACTGGTGTTATGAGGTCAATCGAAGTGTACGCAGTTTGTACCTCTATGGCTCTATATATGGATACCGGAGATTCCTTTGATGCCACTTTGTTCACATCATAAAACAGGATTCAGTATTCCTTCCTTATCACCTTTTCCCATGGTTGCACGTTTGAGAAGTGTTCAAGATTGATGTTCTAGTGTGACATTGGCTCCCAATAAATTTAATCAGGTTTAGACACGAGTACTCACCAATATTGCGGTTTGGTCAAGCATGCACATCAACAAACCTGCCGCTGCAGCTTTGGGTCTTAGACAACGATTTGCCTACCAAGAACCTTTGAGCTCCTTTTTTGATGGAAGAAACTCTTTGTTCCCCGGGGGGAAAAAAAACTTTGCTCTCATGCAATGACCGCTTACTTTTGCCCCTGTTCCGTCTTCTTCCTTTTTTTTTTTAAAGAGGGCAAAAGCTTTACCTCGTATATTAATAGAGATGGAGAAAAAACAGAACAAAGAAATATATATAGAGCTCTTTTTTTGGAAGATATCATTTAACCTCTTCTTTTACGTGCTCTTGTGGGTTTAGCTTTCGGGGCTTGCCATGTCCATCTTATTCCATGATGTGTGTGTTGGAACATGGAAGAAGTTGTATATTATGGGCGTGTGCGGCTGATATTTTTACATAGTCAACTTGCATCGATTTTGTAATTGTAGTTTGTATGGCTGCCAAACATAGCATATGGGATTTTCGGATCTCGAGAGCTTTTTTCTTACATGCATGTCGCATAAATATATATTATAGAATTTTTTAAAAAATAATTGATTGAGATAGATTAACGTGAGATATATCACTCCTCCATGAATATACAATGTTAAATTCGATTTCTACATGTTATAATAAAATGAACAAATTAAATTAAAACTAGTACTATGTGTAATTTACAACTATATTTGCTATTTTTTTATAACTTATAGAAGTCGAATTTAAACTTGCATATTTATTAGATATATCTTATTTTAAAAAAATAAATACTTTTTAGATAACATGCAAGAAAATGAGATGATGTTTTCTTGAGGGATGAATTAAAATGCTCTTCCGTAGAATTATGCAGTGATATTACTCAAGTCAATTTTATCCAAGAAAGTGACGGATTCAGTGTTGCCCCAGAGGGCCCAGAATGAGTGACTGCCAGTCTGCACAATTATATGTCATTTTGCACCATTTCTGATTTTTCTTCTATCTAATTTGATCGGCAGAACTGCTACTTTTGTTTAAAGAAAAACCAAAGGACATATAATATTATTTCAAACACAATTATTTACCACGTGCGCCTCTAGAAGAACTTTATCCTATTGAAAAATCAAACTTGAAGAAACGAGGATTGAAAGTGGACTAAAGGCCTATTTCGTACACCGGGATACTGGATATACTTATAATAGTAGAGATGTCACAGAGAAGCATGATGAACGTGAAGAAAGCGAGCCAATTGATGGATTGCTGGGCCGATCTGTTCTTCCTCGACACTTCAAATAAGTAAAGTGTCTATCTTGAACAAAATAGTTTGATTTTAGGATAGAGGCCTAGTCAGTATATTACTGTGTGCGCAAAAAGAGAATTATTTTTTTTGGAATGAAAGGACCTTAATATCGCTTAGAGGGGGGTGAATAGGTGTTCCTAAAAATTATCACAACTTCATAGCATATTAGAGTGATGATAACTTTTGATTCAAATCGAAACTTCCGGTATGGGATTGGAAGTTCCGGTCTCAATCGAAAAGTTCGGTGGATAACGGA